AAAAAAAAAAAAAAAAAAAAAAAAGAACTAAATCCAAGACAAACAACTAGTATACAGACAGGAGCAGAAATCGAAGCCAGATGCCTGAGTATGGACCTGTGCTCCCGACCACCTTACCAAAGTGTCCTCCCTTCCCCCATCTTGCTTCTTTTCATTTCCAATGTGACAGGAGCGTGAGAAATTACAATATGCCAGGGCCAGCTCCGTGGCGTAGCGGTTAAGTGCGTGCGCTCCGCTGATGGTGGCCCAGGGTTTGGATCCCGGGCGCGCACCGATGCACCGCTTGTCAGGCCGTGCTTTGGCAGGGTCCCACATAAGGTGGAGGAAGATCGGCATGGATGTTAGCTCAGGGCCAGTCTTCCTCAGAAAAAAAAAAGAGGAGGATTGGCATGCATGTTAGCTCAGGGCTGATCTTCCTCACACACAAAAAAATTTTTTTTTAATTTAAAAAAAAAATTACAACATGCTGAGATAAAGACCTCATAGCACAAGAGCTCATCTACAATATACACAACTATGTGTTACTGCTACCCAATTACACACTAGAGTCCATAGAGCCTACAAAATGAGACAACTCGTAACAAACTGACATAATCTTTTGAACACATAAATTTAAAAGAGCAGGTACTGTATGCATTGCCAATGGTTTTTAGAAGTCTGAATCCAAACTGTAGTAAGGATCTTTTAAAAAGTTTGTCAAGCTGATTCCAAAATTTATACAGAGAGGCAAAGGAACTAGAAGAGCCAAAACAGTTTTGAAAAAGAACAAAGAAGACTCACATTACCTAATTTCATGACATTATTATAAAGCTACAATTATCAAGGGTGGTATCTGTGAAAGGAGAGACACATACAGGCATACCTCGGAGATACTGTGGGCTCGGTTCCAGACCACCACAATACAGTTAATATCGCAATAGAGTGAATCACACAAATTTTTTGGTTTCCCCGTGCATAGAAAAGTTATGTTTACACTATACTGTAGTCTATTAAGTGTGTAATAGCATCATGTCTAAAACAACAATGTACATATCTTAATTAAAAAATACTTTATTGCTAAAAAATGCTAACCATCATCTGAACCTTCAAGTAAATCATTATCTTTTGGGTGGTGGAGGGTCTTGTAAAAAACGCAGTATCTGCGAAGCACAATAAAGCGAGGTGCAATAAAACGAGGTATGGCTCTAAATCAAGGCAACAGAAAAGAAAGTCTAGAAACAGACCCAATGTATATGGTCAATTAATTTTTGACAAATTTGCAAAATAAATTCAGTGGAGAAAAGATAGTGTTTTCAATAAATGATACTAGATCAACAGGATATCCATATGTAAAACGTATATATCTATATACCTCACACTTACATAAAAGTTAACTCAATATGAATCACAGTCTAAATTTGAAACAAAAGTATAAAACTTACGGAAGAAAACATAGGAACAAATCTTTACGGCCTTGGATTCGACAAAGATTTCTTAGATGTGACACCAAAAGCATAATCCATAAAAGAAAAATTTTTTAAATGGATTTACCAAAAAATTTCTGGGGCCAGCCTGGTGGTGCAGTGGTTAAGTTCAGCGTGCTCCACTTCGGCGGCCTGAGGTTCGCAGGCTCAGATCCCAGGCGTGGACCCACACCACTCATCGAGCCACGCTGTGGCAGGCATCCCACATTCAAGATAGAGGAGGATGGGCACAGATGTTAGCTCAGGGCCACTCTTCCTCACCAAAAAAAAAAAAAAAAATGTCTGCTTTTTAAAGACACTGTCACAAAAATGAAAAGACAAGCCACGGACTGAAAGAAAAAGTTTATAAAACACTTATCTCACAAATGACTTGTATCCAGAATATATAAAAACATTTAAAAACTAATAAGAAAGCAAAAAACTCAATTTAGAAAATGGGCAAAATGGGCAAAAGATCTAAACAAACATTTTAACAAAGAAGACATATGAATGGCATGTAAGCACATTTGAAGATACTCAATATCATTAATCATTAACGATACCATCACAGCTATTAGATTAGGGAAAAAACCAATGACACTAAATGCTGGTGAGGATGGCGAGCAACTACAACTCTCATATATTGCTGGTGAGAAAATAAATTGGTACAGCCACTTAGGAAAACAGTGTGGAAGTTTCTTAAAAAGTTAAACCTCCATATACCATATGATCCAGCAATTCTACTTCTAGGTATTTACCCAAGAGAAATTAAAATTTACATTCACACAGAAACCTGTAGATGAATGTTCATCACAGCATTATTCAAAACCACAAAAAACTGGAAACAACCCAAATTGGAATATTATTCAGTAATAAAAAGGAAGAAACTATTAATAGACACAACACCACAGATGAATCTCAAATGCACTATGCTAAGTGAAAAAGGCCACACGCAAAGTCTACATACATATGATTCCTTTCATATGACATTCTGGAAAAAAACAGAATTATAGAGACAGAAAACAGATCAGTGGTCACCGGGGCTGGCAGTAAGGAAAGGACCATGAAGGAATTTTTTGGGATACAGTTACTGTTCTACATCTTGATTACTGCAGTGTTTACCTAACTGTATTTATTTGTCAAAGCACCCTAAAGAGGGTGAATTTTATTACACATAAATTATATTTCAATAAAACAGACCTTTGGAAAAAAGTAGCCTAGCTTAAAACTAAGTTTTAAGATTTTTCAAGATGAGAACATAAAAATCGTGAAAGATGAGCACATTCAGGTTGTCTCAAGCAAGTTAGTCAAACGGATTTGATTAAAATTTGGGCTTTTTTTCAAATCTGTCACAACTTCTATACTATAGGAGTTAGAAGGGTTGGTTTCTGCCCCTGATTCTGCCAATCAGGTGATACATACAGTAATAGAATATTTACTTCACTTTATTTTTCTGCTTCTAAGTTCTTTATCTTTAAAATGAGAAAAAGCATTCCTAACCTCAAGGTAGCTGTAGCCATCAAGAGATGATATATGAAATATATGGTGATATATGGAATACGTATAGTGTCAGCCAACTAAATATAGACATACCATTACACCAAATTCAGTCAGGTCTAAGATGGAAATTTTAGCCTTAGCAATAAAACTCAGTCATTACAAATGGTAACAGGCAAGGGGGGAAAATAAATGATCCGGAACAGAATCAAGAAAGTAAAATAAACAACAGAAATCACACGTACATAAAAAACTAGGATGTTTGCTAGGGGGAATATATTGGGTCTTTTGTAAACAGTTACTTTCTCTGGGGAAGGGCACAAAGATGTCCTTTTCTAAAAGAGAATATTATTGCAGGTTATCTTTGCATATTAATAAATGCAATTATTTTGTTAAAAAAAACCAAAACATTTATCAAGTGCTCGCTGTGTGTCAGCATTAAGTGTTTTACATATTATTAACTATTTAATATTCACAAGACACAAAAGATAGCACGAAATGTATATTGGGAAGTAATTTCCTAACATTCATATGCTTGGTGAAAAAGTTTCAGCAAGTCTCAATATAGTGCAAGAAAAGCATTTAAATCAGGAATGCTGAATTTGAAGACATTTCTGAGGAATTTCTGGAAGGATCATTTGTCTTCTATACCTCAAATATGTGCCCTCATCCTTATTTAAGAAGCTATCGTTTTGGTTTAATAAACAAAGTAAAGAACTAAAATATCTACTCACTTTGCTATTAAAAAACAAGAGTTCGCTGGCTATTCAAGATCTTTTTCTTATGTTCTCAGATACAAATCACAGGCCAGACGCACAGAGCAGATGCTGAGCTGTGGAACGCTCTGGGGACAGCGGCTGTGTGTACACGTGTCTGCCGCATGTCCCCAGGGAACCGCAGGACTAAGCACACGCTTCAGCGGGTAAGCCGCGGCCCCCGCGCTGGGCCGCAGGCCTTGGAGGGCCCTGCTGGTCTTTGGCCCTCCTCCAACTTTATCCCTCCCCACAGGCCAAGGACACTGAGGGACCTCCTCAAACACATTCCAGGATACCCGGGGTCCTGAGGCTCCCCAGCCACACGGCTCCCAAAGTGATTCCGGGGTCCATCCTGCCGAGACAAGACCTTGCCACCAGGATATATGCCGCTAGGCTGAGAAACGGCCAAGGGGGCTGCTGGGTGGGCACACTGACATGCAAGCTGCCCACCCACACACGTGCACCCAGGTCCCAGAGCGGGTGGAATGGAGTCAGCTCTCCCGTGCCTCCACATTCTGGAACGGAATTCGGAGGAAGCTGAGAGGTGCCCAAACCGACCCCACAAGAGTAAGCTAGAGACACCCTACCACGGCAAACCAACGCCAGCCCCGGGTAGATGCGGACAACGGCCAAGACAGACGTACTGACAGACAGATGTATACAAGGACCTGGGGGGGACAGAGGAGCAAACTGAAAGCCAGCCAAGCGGTTCCTGAGACAGAGCCTCGGCCCCCGAAGCCATTCCCACACCGGCTCCACAGGGGCGCAGGTACGCGGGCCGACTGCGGGAGGGGTATCCAAGAAACGGGCTCTGACGTCGGCGGCAATGCCCGGGAGCCCGCAGGGTAGCAACAGCACAGAGCCGGCGCAGCAGTGGGCACGGCAGTCAGCCGTCCCGGAGCCAGTCAGCGGCCGGAGTCCCGAGGGCGGGGCCGCCGCCGACGTCACGGCCGCGGCCGACGTCACGGCCGCTTGCCGCATCCGCCAGATCGCCCGGAGCAGCTCCGGCGCGGGTCTCTGCGGGAGCCCCGACACTGCGGCTTCTCCTCCGACATGGCAGACGCGGAGAACCAGGGGCCGGCCGAGCCCAGCCCGGCGGCGGCGCCGGCAGAGGCGGCGGCGGAGGAGGTAATGGCGGAAGGTGGTGCGCAGGCGGGCGACTTGGACAGCGCGGCCGGTCAGACGGCAGAGGAGCCCCAGACCCCTGCCGAGAATGCACCAAAGCCTAAAAATGACTTTATCGAGAGCCTGCCTAACTCGGTAAAATGCCGAGTCCTGGCCCTCAAAAAGCTGCAGAAGCGATGCGATAAGATAGAAGCCAAATTTGATAAGGAATTTCAGGCTCTGGAAAAAAAGTATAATGACATCTATAAGCCCTTACTTGCTAAGATCCAAGAGCTCACCGGTGAGATGGAGGGATGTGTATGGACCTTAGAGGGTGAGGAGGAGGAGGAGGACGACGACGAGGAGTACGAGGATGAGGAGGAGGGAGAGGAGGAAGAGGAGGAGGAGGAGGCTGCGGCGAAGGGTGCCAAAGGTGAGGGTCCCCACTCTGCCTTGTCTGATGACGCCAGGAAATAAGCGGGGCAGAGACTGAAGAGGAGAATGACGACGAAGACAAAAACGCTACTTTTTAAAAATATTATGTATATATGGGTGGACTTAAAAAAGGCTCAGGTTTTGGACCAAAATACAATGTGAATCAATTCTGACATTCCCAAAAATATATTAAATTGAAGCAATCAGATCCTGGCCAGCCCGTTTCAAATTTGATTTTCATTTGGAACACAAATATATCAAAAGATGTTAAAGAAAATGTGTTTAAAATAATTTTTTCATGATGTCTTCTTGAGGACTGGAACTGAGGCTTATTAAGGGTGTCACGTAGATGTAAAGTAAAGAATGTCACTTTGAGACTCATTCATCACACTGTCATCACACTACACACGGAACACCCAAGCCAAGACTGAACATGTTCTCAATGCCTAATTCTTCATTAGTCCTGAAATTTTCCAGTCCAGAACCCAAGAAAAGTCCCATCTTTAAGACTTTGCTTTTGTAACCCAGACATCAGCTTTACACTTAGGAGAAGAGTGATGGAACCAAGCGTGTGATGGAGATCATGACAGTACTGTTAATAAGCCTGGAAAACTGCCACTTCAAATTCTAAAGAATGTTCTGAATATTTGAATTTAGAGAAACAACATGGTTCCGAGAAGGAGGGTGTATAACCTGTATAATATTGTCAACAATAATGTGTTCGTTATTTACAGTCTCATATTTATGTGTTTTCTGGGTAGTGTCTCTTTACAAAAGTGTAAAAAAAAAAAACCCCAAATGTTTAAGTATTAAATCCCTTTACCTAGCATTTTAGAAATATTAATTTACTTGAAGAGATGTAGAACGTAGCAAATTCTGTCAAGCATGTGTATCCAGTGTTATGTAGTTTGATCCTTGTAAAGTCTTTTTGTCCTGTAGCTTTTAAAATGTAGCTGTGAAAATTATCAGAACTTTTCACTGAAGCTAATGTTTGGAACAAATATATACTTGAAGAACCAATCCAAGTGTGTGTCCCCACCCCCAGCTCAGAAGTAGAAAGGGTTTAAGTTTGCTTGTATTAGCTGTGCCTTCATTATTTTGCTACGTAAATGTGACATATTAAATATAAAATGGTGCATAATCAAATTTTACTGCTGGAGGATAGACTGGCATACAGTCAAGGATTTTTAGGAAGGACACATTTAATATAAAGACTCTTAGCTTCTTTGTGGATTTTGAATTGCGTGTGACCCAGTGATCTATAAACATAAGCATAAAGTTGTTTACCACTGTGGTGTTAATAAAGCAGTATTTTCCAAAAACAAAGGGACTCGGGACTCTGCCTGCCTGGAATCAAATCCCAGCTCTGCCTCCTATTAGCAATGAATCTTGGGCAATTCACTTAATCTCTCTGTGTTTAGTTTCTCCTCATCTAGAAAAGGGCATAGTAACAGTCCCTTCCTCACGGGTTATTATGGAGAACAAGTGAGTTAATACACATAAAAGCCCACAGAACCGTGTCTGACACATACTAAGTGCTGCAGAAATTTCAGCTATCACTATTATTATTATTATTACTACATGAAAGATAAAGACACTGATTGGAAATTCAATCCTCCTTGTCTCTCTAGTTACAAAAGAGAAGAAAATGGACATCGTTATATTCTTAAGTTTACGCTTCGTTATTGTCAGAGAAAAATGTGGCCTTTAATTCAGAAACACAGGAAATTCAAAAACCTATCTTGTTTTGGTTTCCTCAATATAAAAATCAGGTTTTGATATCCTCCCAGAAAGGATAAAAAGGCTTTCATGTGACATTATGAATATACAAAAGAATGCTATTTCAACTTTACATTTGGGCATTCTGAATGAAGTACAAATAATAATAAAATTAAAGACTCCAAAAAATTTTTAAAACTCAGATGCATTTTCTTCCATTTCCCTTAAGAGTTAAAATTAGACAAAAGCAAAATTTAGACTGCTTTACCTTAGGGAATGGAAGGCAGCTCTGACCTATGCTAATGGCAATAGTTGAGTAAAACCTTAAGGTAATATTAATCTTCCTAGGGCCAGGCCAACCAAAAGAGAAAATCAAAATAATTACATATAAAGTCAATGATTATCTTAATCAGATGATTATCTTAATAGAAGCAAAAAAAATCTAATAAAATTCAATATTTATTTATCTCTAGGAATAAAAGACTGTCATTTAATATTTTTCTAGGTCCAGCAAAAAAAGTAAAAATGAATGAAACAAACAAGAGGTGTAATTATTGAGGAAAAAATTTTTTTGCAGGCATGTGATTATACACAGAAAATACAAGAGAATTAAATGAAAACTATTATATTTAATAAGTCTGAGGAACTGACCGGTTACCAGATAAATATACAAAAACCAATAACTATTTCTAGGCACTAATAATGATCAAAACATATGGAAAAGGCTCTCACAGTGGAAACAGGAAATAAAAATATAAAAAACCTCTAATAAAAAATATGTATAACCTATATGAAAAGAAAAAACAGACTATCACAAAGAAATGTAAAAAAGATCTTTGGATAGTAAGACTGAATATCACAAAAGTGTCAATTCTTCCCAATTAACTTTTAATTTATCACACTTCAAATCAAAACCCAAACTGGATCTGGAACTTAATATAATTACCCCGATGTTCACCTGTAAGAATAGCTAAGAAAACTAGCAATATGGAAACAATTCAGATTTTTACCTTAGACTACAGCCTAAAAAATAACTTTTAATAGAAGAAAATACATTAAGTATTTATCAATTAACAGACAGGAAAAGGCTAAGATTAGCGTGATATAAGACCAAAAGAAATAATCAACAGACAACACAAAAATTAATAAATTATAAAGGTTTAAATACACTCCACATTTTCAAAAGCAAACAGCAAACAGAATAAAATCCGCAATATATATGGATGGCAAAGGGTTAACAGTTTTAATATAATAAAGAGCTCATACAAATCATATGAAGATCATTTAGTCCCAGTAGAGACACACATAAAGGACATCAGCAGAGGAAGTACTGCCGCCCTGTGTGGGGCAGAAAGACTCATCCTGAAAGGGCAGCAGTAAGTGGACCAGGGCTCCAGCGAGGTCTGGAGCACGCCGCAAGCTCAGGCCAGCAATCTCTCTTTCACTTATGATAAAACTTTAGCTACAGGGTTTTCTAGCTACCAGTCATACCACTGTTTGCTACCTTTCCCAGGATACAGGGACATTTACGACGCCCTTCATAATGTCAAGCGATTTCCACCATTTCCTAACTGGGCTGATCTTTACCCTCTGTTTCCTGCACTGCTTATTTGATAGTTCCTCAGGCAGCCATAAAACTGCCATGTTAACATCTAGCAGGATCCCCTCCCTTCAAGGTCGGTCAAACACTACCACTCAGAAACCGTGTTTAATCCATTACAAGCCCAAATTAGTCAGCAACGCACAAAGTAACTGGCAGAAAGAAAGGCAGCATGCAACACACATTCAACCTAGTCTCTAAGAGCACTACGCAGAAAACCAGCAGGCTGATGCCCCCTGCCCAAGTGTGGCACAACCACTCCTGCACATACACACTTTTTGATTGAGGTGAAATTCACATAACATAACATTAACTATTTAAATGAACAATTCAGTGGCATTTAGTACATTCACGATGTTGTGCAACCACTTCTATCTAATTCATTTTTTTAAGCAGAAAATATATTAGAGGTAAACAGACCGATGCTGTATAGAATATGTAAAGTAGCCTATATGCGGAAGAAATACAAAATTTTACAAATGAGATCAAATTTATTAAAGTAGTTTTTTGTTTTTGTTTTTTAAGAGAATACTCAGTGTTTGTGAGGATTAGGTGAAATGGATACTCTCATACATTGATGATAATATATAAGCTGGTACCATTCATTAGAAAAATCAATTTAGCAAAAATATCTATCAACAGATTCAAAATGATATACACTAATTCAGTTTCACCCTTGGGACCATATCATTAAAAAGCAACTTTAAAGGCAAATAAAGCTTTACACACAAGACGCTTGATATAATACGTCTTATTAAAAACAGAGGAGAGAAAAAGAAAAAAGAAAGGGAAATAAAAAAGAATACAGAAATAAGCCAAATATCCAAAAATGAAAGAATAGAAAACAAACATTCACATGGTAGACTGTGCAGCCATTAAGGGTGACCACGAGGGCTTTGTAATAACACTGTAAATATAACCTTTGTTTCATTCAACCTAAGTTTAAAAATTCAGACATACAATTTTATACCTATATAGTACGTTTCTAACTATGCCAACTTTGTTTTTTAAAAAATTGCACAATCTGCCTGAAAGGAAAACAGCAAACTTCTCACTCATTTTTCTTCCTGGGTGGGAGGGGACGGGAACTCTGGAGGCCTGGTCGTGGCCTCGAGGAGGTGGCTTGCCGACGCTCACACAACACGAGCTCTCACTCAGACCACCTGGCTTGGAATCCTGGCTCTGGCTGTGAATCCTGGTTCTAGCTGTGTAACCCTGAACAAGCAACTTATGCCTCTCTGTGCCTCAGTTTCTTCATCTGTAAAGTGGGGAGGATTACATGTGAAGTACTTAGAATAGTGCCTGACACATGGCAAGCACTCAAGAAATGTTCCCGGCATTTTAATTATCTGCTATTCCGACAACAGCCCAGTGCAAATATGAAGCAGATCTTAAAGATTACACCTCTCACAGACTATCTCAAAAGATCTACTGAAGTCTGTCAGCAGTCCTAACTTCAGTAGAGCTTAAGGAGCTAGAAGCGTCTGTCACGTATGAGTTTTATTCTCAGGTTCTCTATGGAATCCAGGTGCCTTCTGGAGCACTTACCTTAAGCCTGGCATTTCTCACTGTGTGGTCTTTTTACGATTCTCTCCCCCACCCTTTTTTTAATATAAGAGAAATAGGGGAAGATATCCATTTAATTGCATTTAATTTGATTACATTAAATTGAGGTAAATTTGGGGGACTCTATAATGATATGGAGTTTTCATTAACGGCAATAACACCATGTTATAGAGTGTGAGAAATACCTAACCATGACTAGTCATTATCCAGATGTGACTACCAGCTGTGGCAAGATTTGGCTATGATGCGGCCACCAGCAATCACCCACAGATATTTTTTTTACCTGGACGCTTACACAATAGGCCCCCCTTATCCACGGGGAATACGTTCCAAGACCCCCAGTGGATGCCTGAAACCAAGGGGAGTACCGAACTCTATATATACTATGTTTTTTCCTGTATATCCATACCTATGATAAATATTAATTTATACATTAGGCCCAGTAAGAGATTAACAACAATAATAATAAAATTGAACAATTATAACAATATACTGTAATAAAAGTTACTGCAGCATATGATTTTTTTTCTTTCCTTGTTAAGTTGATACTTTTACTTTTTTATTTAAAGCAAGCACTTAATGGCTCTTCTTTGGCATATCTGAATCGCCAGCATCACTACTCCTGCACTTTGGGGCCACTAAGTAAAATAAGGGTTACTTGAACACTGACACTGCAACACGGAGACAGTCGATCTGACAACCAGAACGGCGACTAAGTGACTAATGCCAGGTAGCCTATCAATGTGGATACACCGGACAAGGGGATGATTCATTTCCTGGGTGGGACAGAGTGGGAGGGCATGAGATTTCATCACACTACTCAGAACATGCAGCGCAAAATTTAAAACTTATGAATTGTTTATTTCTGGACTTTTCCACTTAATATTTTCAGACCGTGGTTGACCACGGGTAACTAAAACCACAGAAATCGAAAGTGCAGATAAGGGGGGACAACTGTAACTCATTTGACTGTCTGCAGCTCTTCTCCAAGGCTAGAAAGCAATTTTAAGACCACATGGAATGTGATCAATTATGGACACTGAATTCCTCCAGGGCAGTGGTGACAACAAATATTTTAGTTAACAAAAACAACTTCAGTGCCAGCAGTATCTGTGTACACAACTGCCCAAGATAAACACCCAACAGGTATTATTTTTATCGTTCTTTCATTTAATTTTCTTAAACTGATCTAAGAAATACCCAAAAGGGACCCCCAGTGACGACATTACGGCATATACAGACAAAAGGAAAGGACAGCTGCAATAATGAATCTTCTACAGTCGGAGACAACCTTTCCTAGCAGGGTCTCAATGTGCTTCGCTGGTAAGACTGCTGCTTTTTGCAGCATAAAAGAAAAAGAAAAAATTCACTCATGTCTCTTTCTGGTTCTCCCTAACCATGACAGCGACACTAAATAATATGGCAGTAACCACGCTAGGTGCTCGGAAGCCTGTCGAACAGGTAACTGTGTGACAGCAGCTGGGTCTGCCTCCTGTCACCAATTACAGAGGCATGTGCGACAGCTCACCACGTACTGGATGAGAGCTAGTGGCCCAGAGCAGCCAGAACCTAAACTTCAGCTAACACAGGAGCTGCTCATACTTGAATCTCAAACACAATGTCTTGGCAATAAAAATAGGAAACATCCCCTCTGCCTGGCAATATTTTAAATGACAGCATTCTTCATTTTACAGAGACTTGAAAACTTCTGAAGCTAGTTTTTAGAAAGTCATGTAACAGAATAATGGAGTTTTGTAATATAGTAAAAGAATAATGTGGGTTACTTCTTATTACTCTCTTAAATTTATATATCGTCTTTCTATTCAAGAACCTGTGTGTCGTCAGAACATTCTTATGGAAAATGCTTTGTAGGAGCAACCCTGAAGTCAGTTAAGGGCAAGTAACTGCAAAGTAAGAGAAAAGGAACCCACATGCCTTTTAAACAAAAGCATACTCTCCACACTGATTCTGAGCACCGCTCGTGGGGCTCAGCAATGTCCGTGAGTGTGTGTGTGTGTGTGTGTGTGTGTGTGTCAGCAACAGATATAAATAGTGAAGAAGGAAAAAAAGAAGATGAAGAAAGAAAGTGTGCCATGGACCTACCTCTATCATGCGACGCCTTTGCTCACAAACCACAAGCCACAAATGGCTTCTTATTACCTGTTGAATGAAGTCTAAATTTCTCTAATTTTCAAAGACTTCTACAGTCTAATCCCCCAGCTAAGCTAGTGTGGGTCGTCCAAATGAAGCTTCCCCCAGCCACGCCCCTACCCAGCATTCGTATCTCATGCCCTCCTTCCTGTTCTCTGCCTGAAATAACAAGCAAGATTCAGCCATCACTTTACAGAGTACTTTTACTTTCTGTGTCCTCATCTCGACTTTCTAGTGCCCAAATCTTAGTTGGCTTCCCAGCCTCACTCTGTCCCATACCTGTCCTCCCAGATGCATCTGTCCAAGTGGATTTCTCCGAACTCCTTCAAATTCAACCACTCAATTTTGTCTTCATATTTCATTTATGGTTGCATATGAGAACAGCTTATCACCCTAAACAAACGGGGTTATATTTCAGTATTCCTGCACAGTTTGTCTCTCAACTATTGAGTCAATTCAACTGTTGATTCAAAGAAACGTCTATTGAATAAGGAAAGACAGTACCAGTGATAGGGAGAGAGAAGCAGAGAGCCAGAAAGAGAGAAAAACTCAGCCTCAGAAAGAGACAGAGAGCAAAAAAGGCAGAGACAAAAAGCATTCTAACAGAAATAATTTTATAACGATATAAAAAAGAGCTTTAAGTCCCAACAACTGCCTCAACCACAGACGACGTCACACAGCCTACGCCTGCACTAGGTCCCTCTCTTCCCCACCGGTGTATCACACACACACAGCGTTTTGATGACTCACCGGAGTATGAAGATGTTCTGAATGTTCCCCTTCCTCAGGCTGCGGGCCTAGCTCACTGTTAGCTTCGCACAAATGATGTGCACATTATCTTGTCTGAAACCTGATGCAGAAGCTCAGACATCCTTTGAAAAACTAAAGGCTATCTATGTACCTATATATGTACATATAAATGTTATAAAGTGATCATCAAAACTAGGAGGGAAGAGAAATCATCTGGGCCAACAAATCCACTTTATGATCTGCCATAAATTTCCTAATTCTAGAAACATTATCAGACTATATCAAATAATAAGCCTGTTATTAAAAATATGAAATCATTTGCTGTTAAAAAAAGTACTGATGTCATATAGATAAAGAAAGGACGGTGCCCTTAGCTCCAGGACATTCTTATTAAGTAAGAGTTTTGATGGAAATATCTACTTGAGACAAGACTAGCCTCTATATTAGGTTTCTAGAGTCAAGATAATCTGATCCACTAAACCCTTCTTTGTTGGGTACTCAGGGACTTGTGTACCATTTCACTTAACTCTGGTACTGTAGCTCACTGTTCCCCCAATCTGAGGCTCCCTGGATGGTCTGGAAGGTTTACATGACAAAAAGGTTACTGAATGCTACAATAGATCATACTAGCTTTTAATCGTCTTTAAAAATGTAAAGGAGTGCAGGTAGAGGTCTGTCAGTTTTCCTATCCTTCCTGTTTTCAAAAGGGAAGATTTATGGAAGAAAGCCAAGGCAGATCACTTGGAGTCAATGACTTTCATAGGATCTCTGTTTCCATCTTTGCAACTATTTACAGTAAGAAGCCAACTAAAGCCTAGAGTGAATTAGTTTTAATTTCCCAACGTGCTTACAAACAGCATCCAACTTCTCTACATCTGTAAGTTTTTCCACAGTTTAAATGAAACTTTGCTTTCCTCTGTGAAGGTTTTCCTCGTTCACAAGCATCCCAGGTGGAGACTGCCATTCTCTCATCCTTCACACCCCTACCACTTCTTAAGCCAAGTGGCTTTAACTCTAGCCAATGTGCTCATGATCCCTAAATCCTCACCTCAAGGCTTTACCTTCTATTCTAATATATATAGCTCCTCTAAGAATGTACATTTTCCCTGTCGCTTTTTACTTATTTCACTACTTCTTACTTTGTGGTTCTTGTTGTAAGTGACCTCAAATTCACTGGTGACTGGGGTTGGCGTAAGTAACTAAACAAACAAAATATTCATGTAAGACTTCTTTCTTGAGATACACAGAAGTTTTAAGCTCTAAAAATAATTACCTGGGTATCACACAGACACGTCAAAATCAACATATCCAAAATGGAATTCTTCTTCCCCTCTACCCTGCTCCACAGATTCTGTTTCCTGTTAGTCAGTGGTCCAAATCAGAAACCTCAGTGTTGTTATCAATATGTGCCTCTCGCATATCATCCATAAATAATCAGACACTAGCTCCTGCTGGTCGCATAACCACGTAGCTGACTCTCTATTCCCGCCACCTTCATTCCGGCCCTCGCCGCCCTTTACTGAGCTACCTCCACAGCCATCTAATGGGTCTCCCTGCACACAGTCTACTTCCATATGGCCACCAGAGTTATCTTTCTAAAACAGACATCAACCATGGCCCAATCCAAGTCCCACTTCAGGCCTTGACAACCTCCACCCTGATGCTACTGCACCCACTCTCCATCCATACACTTGCCCCTTCCCTCAACAAGTACCCCTCATTCCCTATCACGTGTGAAGCCTGAGAGTCCTGACTCACATTATTCCCTGTGCCTAAAATGCTTTCCCCCCACTTGTATTCTTCAGCGTCCAGTGCCAGTGTTGTAGCCTCTCCCTGCTGGTTCCATGGCACATGGCCTATATACTCGCCTATCTCGTGCACCATAATGTACTGCAATCATTCACTTACATTGACCCTTCCCGACTAATCTTGAGTTTCAAGGATAGAAGTTATTTATTCCCTATACCCAGCAACATGCCTAGAACACAGCAGACACTCAGTGTTTGTAAACTGAATTAACTGATATGCGGGTTTCCAGCAAACTCACTCATAATTTAATGCAAAAATAAACAAAATGGAATCTTTTTTCCTCCTCTAAAGAGGCAACACAGAGATTACGAATCATCATGAAAAATCAGATATACTTAATTTTCATGAGGCAGCGAGAATAACTTAAAACCTATATTACAAATTCTTCAGCAGTAAAACAACAGTAATAGTAAGCATCTTTATAACATTCATTTATTCAACACATATTTTCTGAGCATTTTTGTGCCAGGCACTCTGCTGGGTACTGGAAACCCTGTGCTAGATGCTGGGAGTTCATTCATTCCAAAATGTTTTCCTATAAATTATTTCCCTTTAGTCTCACAACCATCCCATGAGGCAGGCAGGGCAGTTATCACAACCCGACCCACAACCCGACCTTACAGATGAGAAACTGAGATCAAACAGTTCACATGACTTGCTCAGGGTCAAAGCCAATAAGATGCAGATCTAGAATGAAAACAAGTTATCTCTTGAATCTAGGTTGGTGCCTCCTCTACTGTTAAAAATTCATTGAAATCAGCAAATTCTTGCTCTATCACCCTTCCTTCCTCTGCAGAAGGGATTAAAACGTAACTTCAACCTTGATCTTAAAAGCAAAACTGCAGAGAAATAAAGTAGCAACATCTGCAATAGTCCAAGGTCAGACTAACCTGTTATCCTTGCACACAGTCACTTTGTCTCCCTCGGGTATCAGCTTCTTCTGTTCAACCACTCCATAGCTTTCTCGACAAATCTATATTTAAGGGGCAAAAAAGAAACGTTTCAATTTTGTTCACCATTTATCCTTCTAGAACCCAAATGACTGAGAGAAGCTTTAGTAACAAATGTAGCTTAATGACTATTTAACATTACAGAAATTCTTGAGAGAAGAGAGAGAAGCTGAGTTAGAAAACATCAGCACCTTAAAAGATATCTTTTGGGGGCCGGCCCGGTGGCGTAGTGGTTAAGTTTGCATGCTCTGCTTCAGTGGCCTGGGATTCGCGGGTTCAGATCCCAGGCGCAGACCCACGCACCGCTTATCAAAGCCACGCTGTGGTAGTGTCCCATATAAATTAGAGGAAGATGGGCAAAAAAGAAGAGGATTGGTGAAAGATGTTAGCTCAGGGCTAATCTTCCTCCAAAAAAAATGATATCTTTTGTTTTAAGACATGGCGTTGCCAATAAATGCAATCAAGGAGAAAAAGATATGAACTCTAGAAAAGAAATATATGTATCAGGAGTAAAGAGTTAAGATTAATGTTTCAGAAATTTTCTTAAGTGCATAGATTAATCATTCATTCATTCATTCACTTATTCAACACATTTACTGAACTCCTGTAACACTCAAGACACTATGAATAAAATAATTTGTCTCAGAGAAGTCTCTGAATTTGTTCTTTGATTTGAAGAAAAACTAATATTAATTATGACTTGTAAGCACGATGAAAGAGACTGCCACAATCATAAGTGAACTGTGGAAATCCTTACCGTGAAGTTGAGGCAGAAAGTCTCCTCAATATCTTCCCCAGGGTAATCTAAAAGTTCTTGAAGACTCCTGATCAAGGAATGATGGAAAAAGGGAAGGAGGCAAATCAGACACTGCAACAGTGTTTCTACCTCAGTCACATGTCCAGATTGTTTGTAAGGAAAAACTATAAAAGAAGATTCTAGAATGAACATAAATCCAGACTGACAGATAATGTTACCTGTACCTTGAAAAGAAATACGGCAGTAGGCCTGTTCTCTTTTCCTACCGACAAGTCTTACTAGATTTGTGAAGAAATTCAGATGGATTTATATCTGACATACTTGTGTTCTGACTTGTGTTATATCTGACATACTTAACCGTGGTATTTGCTTGGAAGTAGATATGTGAGGAAACGGTACTGCAGTGGCCCTACAGACTGGTTTCATCCATACACATTAGTAGGATAATCCTTTCACCACGAGGTCACTTCACCCACTTAGGGATCTTAATGGCTTACTTGTTAATGCAAGGGGCTCTTTATGGTAAAGACACCCTGTCACACTAAAGAATACTGAAACATGTACTCTTACAAAAAGAATATGTTTATGCTAACAACAGTCACATCCTCACTCTCAAGAGAATATATGTTTGTAACCAGACCTCATTCACACTTTCTTCTTTAGGAGCTCCAAGTCTAGCAGTTCCATCAAGAGTTGCCCAGGAAGAAAAGTCTTAGTGTGGAATTTAAATCCACTACCAGTTAACCAGCCAAATCGTTATTTGGAATATATCATTCTCAGCCAGGCTGGCAAAGTAAATAGCACACACTTCTGTCATTCTCTAGCCTTCTCTTTCAGTTACCAAAAAATTAACACTGCGTGGGTCTCCTCTGCCACTTTCGTATATTCCTGTCAAATTTTCTCTTCCTCTCTCTGTGTCCCCATCCCTCACACATCCTTTACGGTTTCTCAGTATTGGTGTCCTACCCTGGCGATGTGACAATCTCATTTCCAGAGGGTATCTTAGAGACTACCCTTCTATCTCCATCTTAAAACCAGTACTCTTTCTCCAGAAAAGGGATGTTCCTTCCATTGAAACCAAAAAGATTACGCTGTTTACAGAAAGCCAAGGATATGGTGTCTTATTACATACTTGATCTTATGCTACCCAAAATCAATACAGAGAAACTCAGAACAAAAGGAGTTTTACAAGCCAGAAAGAAAAAAACAGGGGCCAGCCCCGTGGCATAGCAGTCAAGTGCATGCACTCCGCTGCTGGCAGCCCAGGTTCAGATCCCGGGCGCACACCAACGCACCGCTTGTCAGGCCATGCTGTGGTGGTGTCCCACATAAAGTAGAGGAAGATGGGCACGGATGTTAGCTCAGGGCCAGTCTTCCTCAGCAAAAAGAGGAGGATTGGCATGGATGTTACCTCAAGGCTGATCTTCCTCACAAAAAAAAAGAAAAAAAAATAGGAAAAAAAACAAAACAACCAAAACATGGCCCTACTACTTTGGAAAATAGTCTGACAGTTCCTCAAAAGGCCAAACATAGAGTTACCATATGACCCAGCAATTCCACTCCTAGGTATACAGCCAAGAGGAATGAAAACTTTAGTCCACACAAAAATGTGTACAAGAATGTCCACAGCAGCATTATCTATAATAGCCAAAGAGTGGAAACAACCGAAATGTCCATCAACTGATGAATGGATAAGCAAAATGCATAATATCCATACAATGGAATATTATTTGTCAATAAAAAGAAATGAAATACTGATACAAGTTACAGCATGGATGAACCATGAAAACATGCTGTGTGAAAGAAGCCAGACACAAATGACCATATATTGTAGGATTCCATTTATATGAACTATCCAGAATAAGCAAGTCTATGCAGACAGAAAGTAGATTAGTGGTTGCTTAGGGCGTGGGGGATAAGGAGATTGGGATGATCATTAAGGAGTACCAGGTTTCTTTTTCGGGTGATAAAAACATTCTAAAATCAATTGTGGTGGATGGCTACACAACTCTGAATACACACGTGACTGGATCGTACACTTTCAGTGGGTGAATTGTATGGTATGTGAATTATATCTCAATTAAACTATTTGGTTTTTATTTTTGTTTTTTTATTTTTTCCCCCAAAAAGACCCCCTTTTCAATAGTTTCTCCCCTTGTATTTCTGGACCATGACAAGTCTTAAAGTCGTTATTTGTTCAGGATAAGGAAAGCAGAGAGTATTTTGTATTCCTGGGGAGCTATGACCTCCCTTTTCCTTTTTTTCCTCTTGCTCTTAGAGTAACATAGGCAATACGTCAAGCGAGAGGCTGTACAGCTATGTCTTAAGACAAAGCATACACAACAGACTCTAACCATATGGTTTGATAAGCGCAAACTTGTACACGTGGTATTTTCAACCTTCAATCCCTAGGAGGGGCAGCCAGAGCAGTTTCCCACACCAATCTGCTATCTTTTAGCTTTGTACCTTCCTTCAGTGGGTGACAGCTCCTTCAAGTCTTCCAAGCCAGGCTTTACATTCAGTAACTTCTTGTAGAGTGCCAACGGGAAGTGGAGATCGACCACGGTGGAGTTGTAGATAGCTAGTCCACAGGTTATGCCAATCAAGTGAAACCAGTTGTGCTCTACAAAACACTTAAGTACATATGCAAATATGTTAAACAGAAATGCAGCATTTGCAGCCCTCAACACACTCTGCCATTTACCTCAAAATATTTTCAGTATAAAAGAATAAAGATCTCATTAATATTTAGTTATCTTTTGAAGTAGAGAAACACTCTGATAACAGTTCAATTATCCCCCAAAAGATGCCATGTGGACAATGTTAAGCATTTATAGCTCATCTAGTGACAGAGGGGACAGCATATTGTTATCTGGAGCAATGCTGTCCAATGGAACTTTCTGCAATGAGGGAAACCTTCCACTCTGTGCTGTCCCATACGGCAGCCTTGGTGTCTACCGAGGACCTTAAACGTAGCTAGTATAGCTGAGGAAATGAATCTTTAGTGTTATTTAATTTTAATTAAATAAAACAAATTTAAATAGCTACATGTGGCCAACAGCTACCTTTTTAGGACAGTGCCGATCTAGGGAGAAAAGTCTGGTAGAACTAAAAGAACTAAATTAGAGTCTGATTGAAATTAGAATGCCTTTTAAAACTTAGCTCTCCTACTGAATTTTCAAAACTAAAGTGTGTGTGTTTGTATGAGTATTCAGACACACACTATCATTGTTATTAAAATAAGACATATTTGATTACTATTTTCCACATGTCATAAAACCAATTTCTTTACCACACTGCTCTTTCTACCCTTCAAGGATAACAAAACTTAGATCTTACCTACCAGAAACAGAAATGGGGCTGATGACAAAATATACTATGAGGTCTTGGCAACAGGTAAAAAATGAAGACTGGATACATTATTTAGACATTTTAAATTATTATCTTTGTTACTCTCCCCTCTTTGCAAAGTCAGAAGTCGGGGGACTGGTCTGACAATGAAAAGAAAGTCTAATTCAATCCACCTGTTTAACTGGGACATCACTAACTTACCGTATCTGAAAACCACAAGAGATTTGAATCTTGATAGCAGGTAAACATTCCATAGATGGGATTCAAAAGTTCTTTTAACAGTAAAAGAAAGAATTCCTTTGTGACACCACCAGCATCCACTGCTTCTTCACCATCAAAGATTACCTTAAAATAATGAAAGCAGAATTAATACTTCAGGGAAATCTTTGGCATTTTATCTTTTTTTTTTTAGTAAATTCTTTGCCAAGTCAGGACAAAGAAAGGGAGACAGAACAGAGACTACACTGACGCAACGAGAACTGCAAGGGGTACCTGCTGCATTAACAAGTCACTTACAGACACACAGAAGTTTTACCAAGTACTTCGAGAACTACAAAGGAAGTCAGAAGTTTACCAAATGCCCGCAGAAAGTTTACCATCTACTTTGGGGCAGTAAGGCGAACAGAAAATAACAATTAGAGAACACATTTTATTTTCAAAGAGTCAAATATATTGAGAGGTAAATGTTCCGGCATATAGAGAAAAGTAATGATTGAGTAAAGGAACACTTTCTGGAAGAAATCTCTCTTGATGGGGTTCTTGAAGTGACTGATGCACATGGAAGGGAGGAAGGCATTCTAGCAGGCACAGACCTGGGCCCTGTGAGGGGCTATAACAGACTCACATGGGGCACGCTGGACCCGTAACGGTCATCACAGGAACAACTACAGCAAACCAACCAATGAGATGTACTGAGAGTTTGCTACAGGCCAGCATGTAACGTCTACTAACCTAATCCTCAGAACAGCCTTATTCATAAGGATTACCATTATCATCCCCATTTTACAGGTAAGGGCTCACACACAGGGCTAAAAACAGCATTCAAGAAAGCTTATCCTCGTGGCTATGTTCAAGGTACCTAGAGCAGGACGAGAGTAAAGGTGCGGACGGGCACGGGGACTTGATTATATGAACGCCAGCAGAAGACTTAATTCAGACATGCTGCAAAGCAAGAACTGTCTCATCTGAATTACCAATTGAAAACGGGGCATAGAGCACCCCCTCTCTTTGCAACATCAAAAATCTAACCCAGAAGTTCTAGGGAGAACCCCCCAGGCAGACTGATGAGACTGATATGAGTTACTGGACATTTCGGAAAGGGTGACAGTCACGGAGACCATCGGTTTCTTGCCTACTAAGTTTCAGAAACTGGAGTTTACAATAGGATTGGAAATTGAGATACGGAAGTCTTCTGAAAGATAAATGACTAAAAACAACTTCAAATAATTCACTAAATATTTACTGAATACCTACTGTGTATCAAGCATTGTGCTAAGCTCTAGGAATACAATAAGTAGTCATACAAACATGCATGGTCTATGAGGAAAGACAATTTCTTAATTTAATAATTTCAGGGAGCTAAGAGTGCCTACTATTTTAACAGGCCAACAGCTTCCTGGACAATTTCACTACCCTTCTCTTCTCCTTTTTCACCTTCTTTCTCTTAAATCTCTGACATCCAAAGACTTCCTAGATGCTGGCTTGATAGTTCTCTCTAGCTGCACCTTCAGTTCAGCTGCTGTCTGCTGGTCTGGGGTAGAGCTGGAGCAGCTACACCGATGACAACAGACAAAGAAAGCCCTATAAGCCCTCACGTAATCCACTGGCAATTTTTTTTTTTTGTGAGGAAAATTGGCCTTGAGCTAACATCTGCCAATCCTGCTCTTTTTGCTGAAGAAGACTGGCCCTGGGCTAACATCCATGCCCATCTTCCTCCACTTTATATGGGACTCCGCCACAGCATGGCCTGACAAGCGGTGCGTCGGTGCGCGCCGGGATCCGAACCAGTGAACCCCGGGCAGTGGCAGCGGAGCGCACGCACTTAACCACTTGCGCCACTGGGCCGGCCCTCCACTGGCATTTTTATCTGAGGTTCTGTTGAGATGTTCTGTTTGGTGATTTGACAAGAGGTGATTAAATTCTTATAAAATGAATGAAAGAAATAATAAATGGCTGGACTGCTCAATTTTAAAAATAAGATCTCTGTTACATTGTCAACATTTAAAGAAAACCTAGAAAGATATTTAGAGAAATATACTGAAAGGCTCACTTTGAGAGGCTTTTTCAAATCGATATCAGAATGAATGCTCAGCTCTCTTAAGGCATCTCCAACAAGGTTGTTCCTGCGAACATGAAGGACCAAGAAGGGGCTTCTGGCCAGCAGAGGCTCCAGGGTGAGAAGCATGAAGACATTCTGCAGGTTGGCTCCATTGACTGCCACCTGGAATGGCATATCCAACAACACAATTTCTCAGAGTGCACCTAGGATTGGGGACAGCAACCAGCTGTGCCTTTGGACTGGGGTGGGTGGGGCATAAGCTGACTGCATCTCCATTTTTTTTTTTTAATCTTCCTCTTAACTTTCACAGATTTTCTAAGTTACTCAGGTTTATGCAACACATAAATCTTTCTAATCTGAACCCAAAGAGATTAACTGAAATAGTTTATGAATCATATGATCCATAACCAGTTCCAGGAAAATGTTTAGACCCGCTGATTAAGGCTGAAATAACATCATTCCAGAAGAAACACGATGGAGGGTGGGTAAAAACTATGACTTTCAAAATGGCAGGAAAAGAAACCTAAAAACCACTTGTAGAACAGTTTTCATTCTTTGAAAAATATCCCTTTTCTCTGGAAAAACTTGAAATTGTAAATATCATGGATATATCACTGTGAAAACAGACATATTTATACAGATAGAAACAGAGAGATCGAGAGAGAAACAGACAGAGATGGAGAGAGAGATGAACAACGTTTACATACCCACCAACAGTAGGAACTGGTAGATTTGGTTGCTAATTCACAAATGTCTTTGTAGCCTTGTCAAAATCAATCATAGTTTATAATAAAAATGTGTATTTGAAGTAAATTAAATCTCAATACCTTAAGTTTTTATTCAATAAAGAATTATCAAGTTCCATTTAATTACCTCCCTTTCTCTACATCAGGGGTCAGCAAACAGCAGCCCACAGACCAAATCCAGTCTGCTGCTAACAATGGTTTTTACATTTTTAAATGGTTGAAAAAAATCAAAAGAAGACTATTTCACCACATGTGAAAATTACATAAAATTCAAATTTCAGTGTACATAAAGTTTTATTGCAATACTGCCATGCTCATTCATTTACATGCTGTCTTTTGCTGCCTTTGTGCTATGACAGAGTTGAATAGTTGAGACAGACTGTGTGACCCACAAGGACTAAATAAACCACGTGGCCTTTTATGAAAATGCTTGCCAACCCCTGAACGCCATAAACATGCATTCACATGTACGTCTTATATTCAACATAAAACTGCTGAAAAAATTTAGACTAGTTCTAACAGTTATAATGGAACTTGATCCAAATATACTTTCTCCTATTAGGAACAATTACAACTGAATGTATAGGACGAAAGAAGCACAGTAAGAAGAGGAAATGAGTTTTAAAAGATGAGACCTGCATCTGTAGTTCAGCATCAGTCTGTAACATTTTGGTCTTGGCTTGGGCATCAAAGATGAACGGGTAGGAACAAAGTGTCACAGCATCCTAGAACAAAACATATGATTGGCAATATTACAGTATTCCACAGAGAACACTGCTGGAAAAATACGTAAGTAAATTTAAAAAGGATCACTTACCTGTATTATAGATGGTCTAGCTTTCTGTGTAAAGAAAAATAAAGTCTCTTACTTGGATTGCAAAACCCCAACTCTTTACCCTCTACAAATGTAAAATACAAATAACAAAACATAGAACTTATCTGACTATTTGGCCATGGAACTAACAACATTTGAATGGCTAACTGGATATCTGACGGAACAGACCAGATGTTTTGATGAACACAGACTGAGAAAAAAACTAAAAACACTTTTTTAAAGTTATTAAAGCACCTTTACAAGCCATTTCACTAACTCCATAATTCACAGCATTAATAGAATTCTCTTCTATAAGAAATCTAATTCCAAAACAGGAGCTTTACAATCTTTACTTCAGACACGAATTTGTTCGGTTAAAGTGGATAATGCAAATCACATCTTATGTGTCAGCATGTTCCATCTCTTCCCTACACACACAGGTTGTTGCTCTCAGGAGAAACCACATATTTGGAAAGCTGTCTCTGACTCAGCACTTGGACCAGTGCATGGCCTACGGAAGACACTCCCTCAATAGTGAATGAAATCTGAATAAACTTTAGAAGATGGGAATAACAGTAAATAAAAATAATCACGAACATATCTAAGAGGCATGTTACAGTTTCATTTATCAGGAAAAAAAGGAAATCGCTTCTGAAAGTTTTGTTATATAAGAAATATTATTCATTAACTTAATAAAACAAACAAAAAAAATCAACAATATAGATCATGTTGACCAGTAGCAATATTTCTCCAACAGAAAACTGGATTTATTCTCAGAGATCTGAGAGTACTCTATGGATTTTTTTTTTAATTTTGTGGGGGTTTTCAAAAATGATATCCTCAACAAAATTAATAAAAACACATTCTGAATTACCTCCTTATAATGGTGTGTTACCATATAATTTGCATTTATTTTAATGATTGCATCGGTGCCATATTATACTTAATTGCCCAAGGGTAACGAAAAAAAAAGAAAAGCAGTCTTCCTTTGCAAGTGATGCATTTGCGCCCAGGAAAAAAGGCCAGCGCAGTCCTGGCTTGCTGCATGAATGAAGGTTTAATAGCAGCTGACAGGAAGAGAGAGAGCTGAGTCACCCCGGGCAGACACACGGGGAACCTGACAGCAGGCAGTCTTCATTCACAGCACAAGTGGGGTTTGGTTTCAGTAAGACAAGACGCTCTTGCTCATCATATTAAATCAATGAAGCTAATCTGCGTTTTATTGATTTTAGAGTTTTGTTTGTATTCAAATTGTAAATTTGGTTTGGTTTTATAATTGCTTAAAGGCTATATGAATAAGAAGTGTATACCAACCTCCTTTTGTGTCTGTGTACATTTCATGTAAATGAATGAAATCATTTAAAAGCAATTTTAATTAAAATCCACCCTGTTTACCCTTTAGAAAGAGGTTCCTTTAGGGATCTTGGAACATTTCTCTAGACTGAGAAACTCTAATCAGAGAAACAATTCCATCCAGTGAAATAAAGTATGAAATCACGCACATACAACCCAGCCTAATGTGACTCATTCTCATGCCAACATATCTAATTACTTTGAATTTAGGAATTGAAATCACTAAAATAAAAAAAACACACACACCATAAAACAGCACTCCACAAAGTTATCTTCTAATCCAGGTACCTATGAGCATCCTGGGGAAGTGGGTTTAAAACTGGTGCCAATATTCAGAATTTTCGCATCTTCTCAGAAGAGATTTTATTCTAAGCATTATTTACTCATTCTCAAGGGAAAAGAAAGATCTTTAATGTGTGTTGATCTACAAAGCAAGACAAAGTTTTGAACACATCAAATGTAAAAGTGGCTGTCAGAGGAGTAATAAGAGTGACGGTAAAAACGTTGCTGGCATTACAGTGTCCCAGTATACCAAGTATTTTCAAATACTGGTATTTTGGTTGGTGCAATACAGTTCTTTCAGACATCAGTCAGCAGCTGTGTCTGTATTTCTTGGCTCTCACCAGTACCACTCCAGTTCTCTGACTCTCCCAGCACGCTCTCCCTACAAGCTCCCCCACAAGCCCTCCCAGCCCCCCTTTAACACCCTTCTGCAGCTCCTAGTCCCTCCCAGCGCCCCTTGCCTGACCCCTCCCCACTCCCTGAAAGAGCCCCGTTTTGGAGGTAGGCTGATCTCTCTTTCAGAGAAGGAGAGGAGTTAAACTGAGGGCAGGGTCACTATCCTCTCAGTTGGGTGGGATGGCTGGAAGAAAATCCAAAACTGCTTCAGTCAGGAACCAGAGCCAAGGCCAGAGTACTGGTGGTCCAGAAGACGTCTCCCTCAAAGGAGGACTGTGGTGCCAGCTCTAAGGAAGGCAGAGGAGGGAAGGGTATTCTGTCAAAAGGAGCAGCAGACCTATATGAAGGTCTGTATCTACATTTATAAATTTTTTGTAAGTCTATGAGTTTTTGTATTTGAAATATAATAATTTCACTGATTTTTATTTTGTGAATGCTGAATATTTTAGAAATGGTATTAGTACTGGCATTTCCATAACATGTGAAATAAATACTGAAACAGCAGTGTTATGACTTTGCTCCACGACTGCTCTCCCTAACCTAGAAGGATGCATATGAACTGATAAGATATTCGATCCCCTCCAGAAAGGCTGTTTGTCCTGGGCCATCCATTCCTCAAAAACGAGTCTAACAAACAAACTAGCCAAGTACTGGTGGATCACATTTCAAATGTTCCTGCTGGAAGTGGGTTGCACTGTGACCTCAGTTCATTTTTTAAAGTACATGGAATAGAAGCAATGAAAAAGTACATGGTACAGAACTGGAGAATTGGGAATTTTTTTTTTTAATTCCAAGTCACCGCTTCCTAACTGTGGCTGTGACTGGGGGACAGGAGGCACTGCACGAAGACCTGCAGTGTGAGGAGGAAACACAGGTGCCTCTGCCTTAGGGCCTGCCTGCCACCAGGGGTTCCTGTACCCACCGTGGGCAAATCCGGCTCCCCAGCACCAGTGGATGCTGAGGCAGAAACAGCCATCATGTCTCACCTGTGCACAATACTGGTACCTGGAGCCAAAACACTGCCCCGTGTGACACATACAACAGGATGTGAAGGTGACTCTAGTGTGTATTTCTGAAGCATTTACTTTGTGTCACTGACTTTCTCGCTTGTGCTGACCTCTATGGGAGCCCACGAAGTCACTCATTCTATGTGCTATTTGGTTCTCAAGTACAGATGATGGCAGTTTATTAACTGAAGTAAACAAGCCGCTACCACCTCTTCTTTAAAATGATAAAAATCAGCCACTTTAGAATGCTCTTTTTGTGCTCCACAGCCCTTTGCACACACGTGTTAGATCCCTTGGTAATCCCTTTTTCACTGCTGCCTCTGCTCTGAACACCCACAGAGGCAGCCACCATGTCCCACTTGGTGGGACATTGGTGGGCATTAAGTGCCCAAGAACTGCTTGGTGAAAAATAGTTATGAGGGCTTATTATATACCAGGCACTTATACTAGGTACTCTGCCAAGTAAGACCTGACCATGCTTTCTCCTATTTAATTCTCACAATACTGTTATAATTCTCATTTACAAATGAGGATGCTAGGCCTATAGAAATTAAGTGACTTGCCTGAGGTCACACAGCTAGTAGGCCAGAGTTGAGATTTGAACCCACTTCTTTTGTGACTAGAGCATGTGCTCTGAACTATACGCTATACTGCCTCAGCTACTACCAAGCTAAAAAATTTAACACCTAAAAATCCATTTATTGTAGTATATATATACAATGGAATATTATTCAACCATAAAAAGAAGAAAATCCTGCCATTTGCAACAACACAGGTGTACCTAAAGGGCATTATGATAAGTGAAAAAGCCAGACAGAAAAAGACAAGTAACATATGGTATCACTTATAAGTAATATCTACCAAAAATTTAAAAAACGCCAATCTCATAGAAACAGAGAAAATGATGGTTACGGGGGGGGGGGGGGGGGAGTGAATGGGGTGATGAAGGTCAAAGGATACAAACTTTCAGTTATAAGATGGATGAATAAGTTCTGAGGATCTAATGTGCAGTATGGTGACTATAGTTAATATGGTACTATATACTTGAAATATGCTGAGAGGAGATCTTCAGCTCTGTCATCACACACACAAAAATGAGTTAACTATATGAGGTGATAACTGTTATGTGATAACTACATGTTAACTAACTTGATCTTGGTAATCATTTCCCAACATATATGTATATCAAATCATCACACTGTACACTTTAAATATATACAATTTTGTTAATTATTCCTCAATAAAGCCGGGGAAAATGTTCATCACTATCATTTAAAAGTAGTTAAACTTATATACGAAATATATTTAGTATTTTAGGTTAAAATCCAAGATATCAAAAAATTTAAACTTCAATTTCTAATAGTATTGTACCTTACACAACAGAAAAAATTCCACAGAAATCACAAAAGGTCACACAGTAATTTCACCTAATTTTCTATCTTTCTATAATAACTACCTTAATTACTGAAGAAGAGATGAGCACCTGGTATTCAAGGCCTATATTTGTTTATCAAATGTTAAGAGAAAGAAACTATTAAAAAATTGTAAAAGTTGCTCACTTAAACACCTCCATTCAGAGACTACAAATCATGATAATCTAGATTTTAACATCCACGACTTCTTTTTCAAAGTCAAAAAGAATTAGGGTTCATTAGAATTATTTTATTCAGCATCAAGTTGCAGAAAGGGTAGATCAGAAGTCAGAAGAACTGGCTTTTATAGCTAATTGAATTGGTGGAAAAATTGTTTCACTTCCCTGGGCCTCCATTTCCTCACCTAGAAACAAAGCAGTTGGCCTAAATAATTCATTAGGCTTATTTCAACTCTTAACATTTTATTATTCAATGAATAATTATTCACAAGTTGAAGAAACAGAAAAGCTTATCTTTTAACAATTTCTAAATCAGCACGTGAAAGCAGAGATCATCACTAGCCTCTATGTTACATTTCCCATGTAAACCCATTTAGAAGACCCTAATCCATTGTTTTTTTTTAAAGATTTTATTTATTTATTTTTTTCCCCCAAAGCCCCAGTACATAGTTGTGTGTCATAGCTGCACATCCTTCTAGTTGCTGTATGTGGGACGCGGCCTCAGCATGGCCGGAGAAGCGGTGCGTCGGTGTGCGCCCGGGATCCGAACCCGGGCCGCCAGCAGCGGAGCGCGCGCACTTAACCGCTAAGCCATGGGGCCGGCCCGACCCTAATCCATTTTTACTGAAAAGTATTTTGTTTTTTCAGGGTAATCATAAAATCTTATTAAAAATACAACATTGCTCTATTACTTGACAAAGAAAACAATCTTGCTCAGTTGAATAAACCTATTTCAATGCCTTGCTTTTGGAGAACACTACTGACCTCCAAAAACCATACAGGGAAAATATTGCCTAAATGTTGGTGACAAATCTGTTAAACAGGCAAAGACTCACCTTGAATCTATCTGCTGCACATGGCTTCACTAAACACAATAACCAAATCATCATTCTGTTTTCTGACATAACTCAAATATTCACGCACTACACAGATAGGGGATCCTAAAAAAGCCTCTCAGGTATCCCACACCAGTCTGCAATCAAACTGGGCAGTTCTTGCCAAGTCAAGGGAGGCAGGTAGGAATCCACAGTCCCTTGGACGACATGAGTAATATACAGGTAGAGCTAGGTGAGGAGTACGTGACATTGTCACACACATAATCCTAAGTCAGAGGTGGCCTGCATGGTTCAGGCAGCTGACGGAAGACGACTGAAGCAGGCTCGCCTTTGGAAGAAGATAATTAGCAAATGATCATTTCCTCAATGTCCAAATCAAGCCACAGCGGGGACTGTGGCTTACCCGCGCCTCATCTACAGAGCCACTCTTGAACGCCAGCCAATGGATGCCATCTGGGAGGACAGGTCATGTGGCCAGATATTCCAAGTTGCAAGAAAAGCTAGACATTCATTTTGTGTCTTGACTTGTTTTGTGATAAAAGACACATAACAAAGTTTACCATCTTTACCATTTTTAAGTATACAGTTCAGTAGTAGTATTCATATTATTGTGCAATGGATCTCCAGAACTTTTTCATCTTGCAAAACTGAAACTCTATACCCATTAAACAATAAGTCCCCATTTCCCCTCCCTTAGACTCTAGCACCCATTATTCTACTTTCTCTATGAGTTCAACTACTCCAGATACCTTGATTTTTGTAATGTTGACAACTAACTAACATTTACACCATTCTGAGTGACTCCTTATGACTATTTATGATTACTCAAAGTACCTCAGAGTTTCAAGAATGCAAAAGCCAGTGGATAAAACAGCCGTGACGCTAACAGTAAAGTCAAGGACAAATGACAGGGCTCAGATGTGCTTTTCTTGTCCTTATTTGTCCTCGGAGAAAAGACTGAAGCTTTAAGATATGCTTTACATGAAATCTTACCATGCCTGCTTGATGCAAGAACCACATGAGGTAGTCTTCCTGAATGTCCACGAGACTGGAAATCTCAGGAATGTAAAATGTGTCATATTCCACATGCTTCACTTTAAGATTTACCTGATGAAGAACAAAATAAGGACAACTAAAACCCAGACAACTGGAAAATGCTTCCCACAGAATGCCTCAGTAAGACATTTGATGCTGGCATCCATTCACTCCCCTCCCCATGGGCCCCTCTCTACCCTCACCTTATATAACTTCTCCAAGAGCTTGAGAGCTGCTGTAATGTAATTGTTAAACAGCGCAGGAATTAAGAATGTCTTTCTTCCCCTCAGTAGATAAACGACTGCGCCTTTATAGAGGTTTACCAGCTTCATGAAATATTTGGGGCACACCTGAGACCACCAGTTATCTTTAGAAAGAAAGAAGAGACATATTTCAATACACAGTCTTGATCAAGTATTGATGTCTTCTGCCTACTAGCTAAAAACCGCTCCCGGCTAGAAGATGAACATTAGTCTAAAATACAGTTTCTCAAAACTGACTAGAAAGGATTCCATGAAAGCACTTCTGGAGAGAGCAGCAGCTGTACAAGAATCCCTGGAGCTTTTCTGCACAGCTTGATCTGCTCTTTTTCCGAAAGCCTCATTCAGAAGACTAATCTAAAAGTTCAATTCCAAGGGGACATGTGCACAAGATGCTAAGGCACATATTTTGGGCAGGAACATTCCTGTATCCTTGTCTTTTCAGCCCTCTTCTCAGCCACCACCTAAATCCTGTATCAGGGATGCAGAGGACCACATGCCCCAGAAGTAGCACCAATGTCAACTATTCCTTCCCTTCAAGAGGCATAATTAGTTGAAAAACTACTATTTCTGTTTCTTACCAAACAATGCTTTCTCATAACCAGACAAGAAGACTTGGCTTCTACTTGGTCAGAAATAAATTCAGCCATACTAAAATATCTAAAAAATGAAATAATACAATGCCTGAGATTTTTAAATATATTTCAGCAAAAATAAAAAGGTGGTGGTAGGGGGAATACATGAAACAAAAAGGGAAAAATACTGATAATCATGAATTTGTGTGATGGGTACCTGTGGTGTTCTCTTTACTCTGAGATATTCTTTTAAATCTAAATTTCTATAATTAGAAGTTAAAAACAAATTAAGTGTAAAACTGAACAATTTTGACTTCTTTGTGCTAGCCTACCTGGAAAAAATAAAAGTTAAAAACCCCAAAACCTACAAGTCAGGTAATATTCCTCCAGAAACTGTCATCTCTCTACCTCACAGTCTATTAGACTACGCGAGAAAATACACGGCAAAGGGCTTTTGATCTTAAAAAAAAAAATTAAGGACTAACATATTACTAGTGCTTTCATTATTATTTCTGTTTTTATATCTTCTACAAAGGTGGAAGCAATATGGGAAAACCAGTACTCCATCCTTAGGAACACAGGTCTCTTTACTCATGGGGAGACCACACTCAAGTAACATCCTACTCCACATGGAACGCAGAAGTTACTGAGTTGCAATGAACACCTGAAAAAAATTTACCAGGGGGAAAAAAAAGGAAAAAGCCAGGTGACAGATTTTCTGCACTTGATTAATAAAAACATCTCAGGCGCTATTCCCATGAGAGACACTCTCCAATTCACTGAGGAACGGAAGGTTCTTATCTCAGCAAAGTGTCCGTAGCCTGCAAAAATCAGTGTGGACTCAACTGTCCTAAAAAAGAAAAACAAAACAAACATTTGGTAAGTCTCCACTAGGTCATTTTCTTCCTCTCCTTTTTTGGAGGCCTGCGTATCACCAAAACTGTTCATTTCACTCCCACCCCCTATATTAGGTATAGGAGAAAGAGCAACAGATGGACACTAATTTTTAAGGCACTATTAACTACTAGCAAGTGTAGGAGGAGAAAAAATAGATTAAAGTCAGATAACCTATCTTTGTGAATATTTCAAAATCAAGATTAGTCTGGCATGAATCATTTCAAATAACCTAAATAATGGTTCAATTTGTTCAAACTGCAAATATGTGTAGTTAGAAATTAACGGCAAAGAAAAGAAGGTTTAAATGTTAAGGATATTAAATGACAACAAATAGATTCTTGGATCTCAATCTACCCAGAGCCAGTGGTCACACCAATAAAATGAAAAGCACAAAACCACTGGTATTGAGTTCAGCACATTCACCTAATACTTTGCTAGGGTTTGTATCCAGCCGCAGAATGGCCATAGCCAGGGGAATAGTCAACGTTATGTAATACTTGGAATCCTGGAGCAGGGGAAATTCAGGAAGTATTAAATAGATTCTCATTGCTTCAACATCTGGTGGTGAACTCGACAACTGAGGAATCAGGCAACTTTCAAAGCTGTTTAAGATCTGTATGAGAGAAAAGAGTATTGAGCAATTCAAACACACCTGACATGTAGTTACCTCATCTCTAAATTCGTAAGCTATCAACCGACTCTCAGCTGTCATTCACTCAGTATGCACTGAGGACCTACTAGGAGCCAGGCACTGGTCTAGGTGCTCAGGATTCACTGGTGACAAGAAAAGCCAGAGACCCCTGCCCGTGCAGACCTCACATTCTGGAGGGGCATTTCCTTAGAAAGATTTACACCAAAGAGAAAGCTAAAGGCAGATCAAAGCCCCAAAGTGAGTATTTTACAGAGCTAAGATTCATACAAGACTTTTGCTTTTTTATCTTACTCTTTTTCTTCTCTTGAAAGTTGAATTATTGAATGCAATGCAAAAATGCATTCTTAGGCATGCACTTTGTAAGTGTAAAGAACATACCTGTTCTAGAATCATGGAGTGCTGAGAATTCATTAACTTCTCAAATAACACTCGAGTTGAGTTCAGGTCAATCCCAGGGATTTTGGGACTTGTTTTAAAATGTTCATCAATTCTAAACAAACAAAAACAGACAAGTGTGTAATAAAAGAAAAACCAAGCAAACATGCTGATAGGAATTATAAAGAGGTAAACAAAAGCTTTTATCCATACTGATCAGATTTAAATTTGACCTGGCAGACACAATGCACAAAAATACTACACTTTGGGAAAGCCCAACAGAATAAACCTGCCTGGAATCTCTTTCTTAAGATATTCTTTAAAAAGTCATATCTTTTTTCCTTCAAGTCAAAGTACAAGGATCATCAGGTCAATCTGAGGCGGTCCTGAAGTTTATAAGCAGGGTGTTATTTCCCTGATGTACTCTTGTGTTTTTGCGTTTTTCTGCACTTGTGGGACACTGAACTAGATGCAGAGGCTGTGCCTGGAAACAAAAGACATTCTCTCTGCAAACTGGCCCGCTCATCAACAAATGACAAGTAGAACCTCCTTGTTTAAAGCCTTTCCTAAGAAAGTATTTATAATAAAAATCAGATCTACAACAAATGCAAAGCTAACGTCTTAGTTAACACAAGGATACACTTACATTCACCCAAGGACTAACTTTACTGCTACTGTTTTTAACTTCCTAGCAACCAATCATTTTTCTAACCTTAAATAAAGTCTCAGCCTTTTAGAGACTTACAGAATGTCTCTTTTAAATTCCCACTCTTGAACATACCACATCTATTAATTAAAAACAAACTATTTGGAAAACAGGCCTCTGTTTATGAGTAATGGACATATTCAGATAGTTGAACATCATTTGACAGCAGTGTTATAATTTATAAAAACATAAGAAAAGTTTCTAACATCTTTTTAGAAATCATAATTATACATATCGGAACCTAAATGGTCAAATCAAGAGATGCTTGGGTTTTGTTGGGTCTTTCGTTGTTGTTGTTCTAAAAATAAATCTGCCCAAAACAGAAATTAATTCTGGTGTCCCATATGTAACCTTCCATATATTTAGAGGTACTTTCTACTATGCTGTTAAGAAAATACAGGGCCGGCCCCGTGGCTTAGCGGTTAAGTGCACGCGCTCCGCTACTGGCAGCCCGGGTTCGGATCCCGGGGCACACCGACACACCACTTCTCCGACCATGCTGAGGCCGCGTCCCACATACAGCAACTAGAAGGATGTGCAACTATAACATACAACTATCTACTGGGGTTTTGGGGGGAAAAAAAGGAGGAGGATTGGCAATAGATATTAGCGTGGAGCCAGTCTTCCTCAGCAAAAAGAGGAGGATTAGCATGGATGTTAGCTCAGGGCTGATCTTCCTCACAAAAAAAAGAAAAAAAGAAAATACAAAATACTTGATCTATATGTATTTATTGCTTTGTAAAACTACTCTTCATTTTAATTGGTTTCCTGTGATACATTCTGCATAAGCTAGAGGAGCAGGACTCCTAAAATAGCACAGCTGTCAGTTAAAATAAAAAAGGCTTTGGGGCCAGCCCAGTGGTGTAGTGGTTAAGTTCACACACTCCGCTTCGGAGGCCCAGGGTTCGCAGGTTCAGATCCCAGGCGCGGAACCATGCACTGCTTATCAAGCCATGCTATGGCAGGCATCCCACATATAAAGTAGAGGAAGATGGGCATAGATGTCAGCCCAGGGCCAATCTTCCTCAATAAAAAGAGGAAGACTGGCAATGGATGTTAGCTCAGGGCTAGTCTTCCTCACCAAAACAAAACAAAACAAAAAAGGCTTTACCCACAACTCCATGGCATCCACGATACTAAGGATGGATAACCTAAAAGATCTGGCCAAGAGCCATTCCCAACTTTCATAAAAGCTTGTCCTCCTAGAACAAGGTTTCTCCATCTTGGGACTATTGGCATTTGGAGCCAGATAACTCTTTGTTGGGTGAGTGGGACTGTGAGATGCTCAGCAGCATCCCTGGCTCTTACCCATTAGATGCCAGTAGTACACCCTCTCCCACTGTAACAATCAAAAATGTAACAAGATATTGCCAAATGTCCCCTGGGAAGCAAAATCACCCAGTTAAGAACCACTGTTCTAAAAGACTAACATCAGCACAATCCAGAATCTTTTTCCCTAAAGGAAAAGGCTATGCACTGAATCTGAAATGAATTGGATGAGTTCATTCCAGCTGCCCTAATGATAAAAGTAACTGACTTTGCAATCTCTAACTGTAACTGAGGAGCATTTCTGAAGTGATCTCTTGCAACCCAGTTAGAGACATAGATTTTTTGGGGGGGTTGGGGGGGATTCCCACACGGAACTGAAGTCTAAGTCATTAGCCTGGGTACTGGCAGAAAAGGACTGAGAGACGGTCAAGACTTGAGATCACCAAAGATCAAATCCCATGACGAGACCCTTCTGCTGCATCAGGTTCCTAAGGGGGGTTTCTGGAGAAGAGATGAGGCCAATCAAAGAAACACTCTATTCACCTGGGAGTTCAGCCCAAATGTCATTTCCTGGTGAGTGGTTAGATCTGAGTCCAAGGAGCCCCTGAAGCCTCCTCGGAACGTCCCCCTAAGCTCACTCTTCTTGAGAAAAGAAAAAACTATGGGAAACCAAACCAAAGAATCCAAGGAGATGGTTTTAAAAATTAAAACTTTAAGAACAAACACTGTACACGCGGTGGGGGTAACATTTTGGAATACCCTGAAAAGTCCTACTTTTCATTACACCAACTCTTTCTGAGATAGGCTCTCTCTTTTGTAATCTGCTTCTCTGCTGACCAGGCATGAATCAGCCTTGTCCTTCCTTATGTCCTCTCACTCATCATTATTAGACATTCCAATTTTTGCACAAATCATCAGCTTATCCACTGAATTAAGTAAGGCCAACCACCAAAGAGAGCAGAAGTGGTTTACGGCCTTTGCTAAGTATCTGCATCATATGTGAGTATTTTTTAAGACTAAGTCACTTACTTTTTTTCAAGAAAACTTCCATTCCAACAGGCTGCAGAAGATAATATCTGAACAACACCACTGCTCAGAAAGAAAAAAGGAGGGAAAACTTTAGTAATTACAAATAAATGGTTATTTAATCGTCTGCAATAGATGAGTCATCGATTCCAGGGCTTCACTAATAGCGGCTCTTGCTGAGCCAGGTGAAGCCCTGGACAATGCACATGCTTTAGGGAAACACTGTCACATCTCAAAACGGACAAGAATTTAAGTTTTCCATAAGTCATGTTAAAATAAAAAGAGCAGCAAAGCTCCCAAAAGAAAAACTACTGCTCCCGATAATGACCTTGAACCCTCGTCTACCACCAACCATCTAAGACACGCCCCACCTCATCTCCACACACAAACACAAAATAAAACCAAAAAAGAGAAGCTGAGCTGTTATGCACCAAACACACAAAGCATCTTTGCAAATTAATAAGTGAATAACCACTTCCTTCTATTTTGTTTCCTCTGAGAAAGAAACTAAAAATAAGTGAAATGAGTGTTTATTCCTATTATCTAGATTACACACGTTCTGGGAAAATAGCTAGTTTCCGAGGACTCAGAGTGAAACTGCATGTCGAACCCCAGACCCTCTCATTTAGTATAACGACCAGGGAAGGAATAAACAAATGCATGGTTGAGGAGGGGATCGCAGTGACTTCTGTTCATGATAGAATCTGGGTCAGGAAAGATCTTCAGAGATGATTTCTTCCCTACCTTCGTTTTATAAAAAGAAAATTGAGAACCAGTAAAGTGTCAAGGTCCCAGCAAAGTGAGTCTATAGTCCCCCCAGCCCTCCTGTGGTGAGTCTCGTCCCCTTCCCTGGCCCCTGCCACCTTTCAGCCTGAACTCCTCCGCAGAGCCACCCAAAGCTTAGCGGGACTCTGAGCACCACCATGGAGGTGCTCTAGGGCATTCCCAATGATCCCTCACTCAGAAAGTTGCTACCTGGTGTGCCCAAAGTTTAGGGCCCTGGGCATTTGCCCCATTACAACCTATATCATAAAGCAAGATGTATTATACACATTTCTGGGAACGACCACCATGTAGCACAGAGCATGATTCATTCATTCCCAAGAGTTAGACTGCAGAAAGATGGAAATGCTGAGGAAAGCCACTAAAATGTGAAAAATGCATAGGAAAAAATTCTCCTTTAAGAATATAATAAACTTGATAAAAGGCCTAAATCCATTTTACTATACTTTTTTCTCTACTTGACACTGAATTACCATCTCAACTAATCATATTGAATGTGACAGTGTTAGAAATTATTCAGATTAGGTAAACTGCCTGCGATGTGGGATGCACTGGGATGTGCACGTGCAGAAACTCCTAGGGTTAAACACTAACTGGGCTTTCTGAGCAGAAGGGCCACTCAGGCCTCGTCAGTCAGGAGCTCTAGGGTCTGAACAAGGCAGGCTGAGGAACCCACTCTGTGAGAGAATGGGGGAACAATCTATGTCATTTGGGGCTGAGGGCATCAAACCCTGAATAAATGTGTGCAAAACAATGATTCCCTAAAATGTAAACCTCCATTTATATTCACACCCTCAACTTAGCTAGAACATCACTTAGCTAGAAAGTTCCAATACACCTGGGAAAAAATAAAAGGAAAATAAGCAACCACATACTTGATTGTATTTGCATTGTTGTGTTCTGAGAGTTTTTGTCTCCAAACTGCTATGGTTTCATCGTTTATTAAACTGGTATAATGTGCTTGGTTCATCATCCTGAAGTCAACAGCAGGAGAAGAATTCTGGAGGTTTAAATAGAACAGTAAAAAAGAGAAATTACATAATGGCATGGATCTTTTCTGCTCTCCTTCTCCCCACATATCTCCACTTTGTGTTTCTCTTGCGTACAGGAGCTGGGGTGCCCAGATCACCCCTTCAGAATGGAGGCACTCACTCTCCCAGCTGCTGAGAGTAGAAGCCCGGGCAGCACCCAGCTGGGCTGCTCTCCAGGAACTGCACTCGGTTGCTGGCTCACTCCCCACTCAAATCCAGTGGCAGGTCGAGGTGTGGCCCAAAGGCCCAGCCCCTCGTCTCCACTCAGGACTGGCTGAAGGGTCATCCCAACTTCAGAGCTCCCAGGAGACTGACTGAGGCCTCTGTTACCCTGAACTGCAGTTCAACTTCTCCTTCTGCCCAATCCTGTCTCCTTCATTCCTAAGTAGATGTTGTTCTAGAGTGCACTCCTCTCAAAAATTAATCTCAGTCTCAGAGCATTTCCCAGAGAAACCAACCCAATACAACTTTTCTAGACTTCTCTCCTCTCTGCTTCGAATCACCATAACATCAAGGCTTTTAAAGTACTAATCATTTGTCATAACTGTTCACCAAACTCCAACAAAAAGTATCATAAAACGTCAGAGTTCAGTTATAATCTATAACACAATCTGAAATTAATTTATGAAAACTTAACACCTCTTAATTTCTTGCACTAAGTATAAAGCGATAAATTTGTAAGAAAGGTAACAAAAAGGACATGTCAATGATGGCCTTGAAAACTCCAAATGTTGCCTGGCACTGTACATCCTTTATTCAGTGAGATTAAAAAAACAACAATATAAGCAATTTTATTTTCTATAATTGCTCTTTTTCAACTTATTTTCCCCAAATCCTGTTCTTGATCCAGAACTAAGAAACAAGTTCAAAGTGCTTTATATCTCCTACACTTGACACTAGAAAAGAGGAAAAAACTAATATTAAAGCATTCATTGGGTGATCATTTTTTTCTCCTTTGTATCTACACATAAAAAGACAACTTTCAAATTTTCTTGGTTACTTTCCCATGGTTACGAGTTAAGATATCACTATAAGGGGAAAAGAGGAGGGCATGCAACAAATCAGAAATGTGTATGTGGGGGTCAGAATTTGCCACCCCAAAATGTGTCTCTTTGACTTGACTATTTTTAAGAACAAAAGACTCTGAAAGAAACTTTGACCTTCCCCCAACTGCCTAAAAGAATTTAAGCCAGAAGGCCTGTTCCAGGAAGGAGCTAACACCATAAGACAACTATAGTATAATATAAACTAGGTGTGGTAGACAGGGAGGAAGCTAGCAATGGCCTTTTGTGTGTGTGTGTGTGTGTGTGTGTGTGTGTGTGTGTGGAAGATCAGGCCTGAACTAACATCTGTTACCAATCCTCCTCTTTTTGCTGAGGAAGACTGGCCCTGAGCTAACATCCATGCCCACCTTCCTCAACTTTATATGGGACACCGCCACAGCATGGCTTCACCAGGCCAGCCCCTAGCAATGGCCTTTTAATCAATGTCCTCTCCACCTTTCATTGTCTTTGCAAGGCATGGTCAACATTTGTCTATCACATTTTCTTTTCCATCTCCATCTAAATTGCCTTCCTCCTCTCCGAAGTCCCAAACCACTACCCCAACATCCTCCTTTGTCCTTAGCTGAAGATGATATTTAAGGTAATGGCTTTTGCCATTTTGGCGAGTTACTCAGTTTTCCTGCGTTTCTCCCATGTATACATGTTATTAAACTTTGTTTGATTTTCTCCCATTATTCTGCCTCATATCAATTAAATTCTCAGACCAGCCAGAAAGACCTAGAGGGTAGAGGAATAGTTCTTCCTCCCCTACACTTGCCAAGGGTTTTGATCATTTAGTTCTTAACAATTATTTTATTAAAAGGGCCACAGACATCTATTGAGAGAACAAAAGTCCTCTTGAATTACATAGAGAAAAATCTTAAGACAAAGTGGACATTTGAGCACACACAAACAAGACTGCCTCTCCACCCTGGTCTTAAAACTACTGTTGTTACATAAATTTTAATTAGTTCCCCCATTCAAAGGGGTAGCTGAACAAAGACTCTAACACATACTTAAAATATAAACATGGAACTATTTTCTCATTTTCATTGCATGTCCAATAAACCAGATGCCTTGGATGAAGTATAATCTCAGAATCACTTACAGACCCAAGAAAAAGCATCAGTTTTCCCTGCCTTCTAATTACATAGAGGCCAAAAAGAAAAAAATGGTCTAGGTCAGTGTTTCTCAACTTTGGCTGCACTTTGGATCACCAGAGCTTTCAAAACTCCCGACAACTAAGTCACACTCTAGACCAATTAAATCAGAATCTCTAGAGGCATCAGTCTTTTAAAGCCCCTAGGAGATTTCATTGGGCAACCACAGGTGAGAATAACTGTTACATCACCTAGCAGGCCTTGAGACAGGCAGGCAGATACACACACACACACACACACACACACACACACACACACACACACACACTCGCGCTCTCTCTCTCTCTTTCTATCAATCCCAACCACATCGTCTCTTCAATCCAATCCAGGGAACAAGACGAAAGAAAAAAGAGAGACTACAATTTACACTCACTCAATTTCAATTGCCAGGACCTAGAATTAAATGCAGCAAAGGGGCATCGGAACATAACCCCTCCCTCCCTTCTTCCACCTCAGGCCTGGCATTAACGAATGAGTCAGTGTTTTATAAAAATGGGGCCTGTCACTACACAGATGCTTTTTCTCGGTTCTTTAAGTGATTCTTCAAGTGACATGTTAATGGGTAAACACAAAATTTGATCAGTCTCTTTATCTAAACAAACATCTATGCTTAATGGCTTAAGCAAAAGAGTATAGGTTTAAGTTTTCAAAGGAAAGAACAGCACCTTCCTAAGTAATAACTCTCTTTTTAGTTTCTTTTTTCTTTGTTATCTTATTGATTTATTTATTTTTATTTATTTATTTAGGTGAGGAAGATTAGTCCCGAGCTAACATCTGTTGCTAATCCTCCTCATTTTTTGCTGAGGAAGACTGGCCCTGAGCTAACAACCCTAGCCCATCTTCCTCTAATTCATATGGGACGCCTGTCACAGCATGGCTTGATAAGAGGTGTGTAGATCTGCACCCGGGATCTGAACCTGTGAACCCCGGGCCATGGAAGCAGAGGGCACGAACTTCACCATGACGCCACCACGCCAGCCCCCGTTATCTTACATTTTTAATGCAGACCACCGTCACCAGTTTAAACTTTAACCTGCCCTGGTTTCACTAACACTATGCTACTTTACCTCCTTCTCATCAACGTTTTGTTTGCTAGTGCTAACAGTGTTCATTACACTAAGTTTAAAATCCAACTACACATACTAGACACCATATTTATCAAAGGAAGGAAATTAAGTTTTATGCTGAATTTCACAGGAAAATTAAAGTTGGATAATATTATTCAAGTCAGTTTCTTAGGGAAGTAATGAATATTTCAAACTCCACTACTTGTGGACAAAAAGTTACTAACTGCAGAGATTCAGTGCTTTTCATACTTCACTTTATTGGCATCTTGAAGAGACAAAGAATAATCTCAGCTTTCCTCAGGATATCTCTGTGAAGTATGGAAGCTGGGCCTAAAATAGGTCTAAAGCAACAATTCTACATCACCCAAAATGGCAGCACTAAACAGAACCTTCTCCAGGCTCCTGACCTGGAAAACATCTAACTGGCCATTTCAGCCGCCCACCTGCAGCCTTAGGCTCCACCACCACCTTGTCCTCCAAGATCAGAGAACTATGCAGACTAGAAGGCAAGAACGTGGCGTATTTAAAGATGGCAAAGTATCAGACTAACAGGGAGAGTTTCCTTGTTTCTACACTTCCTCATTTTCTTCCCAACCAATTCTGATTCCTTCATCATCACCACCGGCCCTTCCCTGCTCCTCCGGGAGAGGATGGGATCAATGCACCACATATGGTTGGTCCTCCCTAAACACTTGTTGAATAAGAGCAGGATGGGCAAGGGAAAGGAGAGGAGAGAAAGCACAGGAACAGGGGCGAGTGTCGAGGGCAGAAAACAAGTCTGTGGTGCTAATTTCAGACCAATTTCCCTTGTCCAGGAAGAGGGGAATGAATTAAAGCTCTGTGGCAGATACCTGGACTGCATTCTCTCTCCCAAAAGATACTGGAATGTCATTCCTCCTCATTCACCCACTCCAGTGATGCAGCAGACACTATGAGGGAGATTTTAGTGTAGTGCTATGAGCAGACTACAAGTAAGAAAGGATATCTGAATATTGTGGTATCTCTTATGTTTAGCATATACTCAATCACATCAAACAAGGAAACTCACTGAGTTTTCAAATACCTAGTATCTGTTGCTACTTCATGGGGAAGGAAAGAAATGGAAAGTCAAATAATGCCAAGTATGAACTTTCTAGGCCTCCTTAAATTTCTTTTGGAACAAATATAAATAATTTTAAATTATAAATTAGAACTCTATGATTAAAATACCAGGAAAATTATCGACACTTCAAGCAAGTAAAATGGAGATAACTTCTTCAAGGTTTAGTTTGCTTATTTTAATAAGAAAAAGTTGGTAAAAACAAAGAGCTACACTGCTCTCACGTAATTATTTTTTCATGTAATTATTTATTAATGTAAATATTGGTTCATCATCATTCCACCCCCAAAATAATAGTCAAAAGAAAATTTTACCTCATATTTGGAGCAAAGTACAAAAGTTTGGTCTCCTCCGGAGAAGATCTGCTTAACGATATGATATTTAAAGCGATCTGTCAAAAAAATTTTCAACAGTATATTTTTCAATAACTAAAGTTTTTCCTTGATTCCCTTTTCTAATATTCAAAAGTGTGCTTCAGAATGGTTTCCTATCCATTTTAATTATTTCAGAAAAGAAACTTTCTTTCCTGGCTCTCTGCCCAGGACTGTTTGCTTCAATTAAAAATAAATATATAAAACAGCACCCTCCACTCTCACCCTACCTCCACCCCGTCGCCAACGGCCAGCTAACCCTGACCTTGTTTCTAGTTGGCATTCTGTCATGCCACTGACCTGAAATTTAAAACGGTCACTACTATAAACAGTACTATATGCCTAAGAAATGTCAACATCTGAGTGTGGGGGTCCCTGGCCCCCTTCATGATGAAGAGTGGCATATAAGGACCTCCATTTCCTACTCCCTGCCTTATCTCCCATCACACTGTGTCCATGGGGACACTGTGATACAGCCACATTGCTTTTATTTCTAATACACCACAGCATTTCACATCTTCAGGTCTTTTCCGTCTACCACCCGCAGTGCACACTGTGTTCTCCATGAATGGCGCCTCCTAGAGCATGACTGGAACAGTGCTCCTGGAATTAGGCAATTCTGTAGTACTCACCACTGCCCACTCCCTCAGAGGCCTCTACCTGGCTAACTCCAAATCATTCTTTAAGACACAGCTCAAATTTCCTCTAACCGGAATACTCCTTGATGCCTTCCTCTGAGCTCCCACATTACCATGAAGGTTCCTAAAACCACAGCATTTACAGAATAAATTGAAATTTACCTACTTAAGTTATAAAATCATTTTGGCATTCATCCAAGCAAAAATTTATGATCACATAAGTTAGGTTGTAATTAAACTTCAAAAATTTGTGGTTTCAAATTAACCTATAAAACACGAGTTTTCAAAATTGGTATACTTCTTTAACACATGCATTCCTAGCACGAGAACAATGCCTTGGTGAAAAAGAAATTTACAAATGACAGAGAAGAGGACACGAAACCATTTTTTCACTTTTGGTAACAACACCAAAGCAAAAATCTTATTTATATTTTAAGTTCCACTACATTTTCAGATGCTCATATATTCATTTCATAAATATTTCTTGAGTGAGAAATTGGGCCAGGCCCTGCGCTATATGCTAGGTTTACAAAGAGGAAAGACTCAGTCCCTGTCCTTAAGCTTCTTATAATCCAGGAGGGGACCGAGGATGGTTATTATTAAAAAAGAAATCCTGATAAAGCTGTAGGTTTGTCACCTTATAGTCTTCAAAATCAAAATGAATTATTAAATCAAGCTTCTCTTTAATGACTCTGCAGCTCCAGCTCAGCCTCTGGATTTTATTTCAAGTCATTCATACTGAGTGACTGCCTTATTCTGATTTCCAATGAAATGGATACTGTGCTATTCAACTATTTTTTAAGAGAAAAAAATATGGCATAAAAAGAACTGTCATGTTGTAACCAAAATAGCAATAATAGCAAAGGGAAGGTAACAACACAAGCGTTAGGTGTACAGGCTTTACAATGACCTGGGTTTAAATCCTGCCCCCAGAATCCCTGTGATCTCAGGCAAGTTACTCAACACCTTAGGACTCAGTTTCCTCATCTCCAACATGGGGATAACCACCAGCAGTTCTCAAGGTTGTTTTGAGTGCTTAGCATAGTATGGAACTTGGTTAAGCATTCAATAAACATTAATTTTCATGATTAGCAACAATAATTAAAACTTATACACCACCACCAAGGTCCCTGGGGCCAAAATAACATTTTCTGCTTTATTTATTCTCTAGGATCTCTACAGACTCTCATGCATAGTTAGTACGCAAATACTTGTTGACTGATGTTAAAATACCTCATATTCATTCCCTCCAAAAGACCTCAAGGTAAAAAACAGAAACATGCTCTAAAAACGATTGTTTTTATCATTTAAATTATCATTAAATTCCAATGAAAATCACTCTTACCAGCTCTGGCTGAAAGCTGGCCACTATGCGCAGCCCAGTAACCTTTCACAGGAGACGGGCATTTCACGTTACAAGTATGTCCAGTTCCTAATTGACCTCTTGCTCCACAACCAAATGCATAGATGAGTCCAGAAGAAGGCACAAAGGCTAGGGTGTGTTGTCTAGGGAAAAATAATTTAAATTAACCATAGCGTAGTTTCTACTGATACGGACATAAACTCAGACTCGGACTTTTAACTGCCACATGTGAGCACAGCAATTTCTAGGGGTGTCCCCAGAAATCCTCCTCCATAATTACAGGTGCCTCTTGTGCAGTGGCTGGCTCTCCATAATACTGTCCTCCTCTGACACTCGAGGTCATGGGAGGATGGCAAAACTTGGAAAGAGCTGAACGGCCTGCTGAATTGGACTATGGGATGAGAGGGAAGAAGGAGGGTGGACCAGGCAAAATTTCTAAGAAGTTCTTAGAGGCTCTCTCACTTTCCTTTCTTCATTTCTTCCCTATATCCTGCTGCTCTTTATCCCAAAAGAAGCCTAATGTCCCCATGTTGCTCTGCCTATCTAAAACCCTTCCTTGCCACACCCTGCTCAGATCTGACTCTCTCCAAACTTTCACTGTAGATGTGCACGCAGTTAAGATTTCTTAAAATGATGGCGGTTGGGTCTAACCACATTCTCCATCACTACAAAGACAAGATCCATTTCTGGGTCTTAACAGACACTAGGAAGCTCGTAGGAGCACTCACCTGCCACAAGCAATCTGAGTGACTTCACTGCCCATCAGCTCTAGAACTCTTCTTGGATTAACCTCATCATTCATGGAATCATGTCCGAGTTGCCCACAGGAACCAGCACCAAAGGTAAACACACCTCCACTCTAACAAGGAACAAATACCACGTGACTGCACCATATCTGAGTTTGACTGCACTCCTCTAAAGACTTCTGTATACACAGTTCACATCACAATGGTCTGTACAAGGACACTACGCTCACTTGATACTTAGCCAGAATCACTTCTTTGGAATGTTCATTAAACAGAAAAATAATAAAAGAGGAACTTAAGACTATTTAAGACTTTACGGAACAAAGCACTGCTCAAGCGAACGTGTGCCATCCGTAAATTTTGAAAATTGTTTAAAAGTACAATGATGTGTTAGGAAGCAAAACAAAAAAAGGAGAAACAGAGACAGAAATGATCATTCATATTTAAGTGCATGATCACTCATATTTAAGAAATTAAAGTCTCCACAAAATCCTTGGTAAGTAAGATATTTTTAGCAGCTGTACTTGAACAAACACTAAGGCATTTTATTAAAGTGAATCTATAATAGTATTTGTTCAACATGAAAATACATTTTCATTCTCTCTAGATGTGACTGCTTTAGAAGCAAAAGAAATAGGTTGATAATTTTACAACATTAATTACATTGCTCTTTCTTTTTTACAAATTTAAATGGCTTGTTTTAAAAGAACACAGAATGTTGCTATACATATTTTAAGGTTATTTATGTTGAACTATTTTTAAACACCATCACTACTCTCTCTAAAAAACACTATAAAAATAAGCAAGCAATGAGAATCATCCATGTCATACCCAGCACCAAAGCGCCACAGAACAAACCAGAACACTCCAGAGTCCCTTACTTTTGTGAGAACTGCTGTGTGTTCTTCTCCACAACTAATATAGACAACTTTTTGCGTTCGTAAGAGTTTCACATGGCAAGGAGACTCTCGATCTAGAATAAGAGAAATATCAGAATGTCACTACCATTTGCCTTTGAGATGAAATATACACAGCTATCTTAGTGTGAATTTGGGGTCCCCTTGGATTCGTGACTCACATATTCAGGTCCCTGCCTACACCTCCACTTGGATGTCTAACAGATATCTCATTTTTAATATGTCTAAAAGCCAACTCATGGTGTCACCACACTCCCTGACTCTGCCCACCCACTCCCTGCCACACACACACACACACACACACACACACACACAGTTTTCCTCACTTCATAAATGGCAACCTTATCCTTCTAGCTTTTCCTCTCTTTATTTCAAATCACACACCCAACAATGAGCAAAACCAATTGGCCCCATCTTCAAAGTACATACAAAATCCAACTTTATTTCCACTACCTCCAAACTGGTCTCCCAGCTTCCCCATGGACCCACTATAGCCCAAGTCAAATTGGATCACTGTTTTCCTCAAAACCCTCAGTGTCTTCCCTTCTCACCAAGAGAAGAAGCCAAAATCCTTACCGTGCCCCACCGGGCCCTACATAAATGAGTCTACATCACCCCCCTCTTCCCCTGGCTCACTCCACTCCTGAGCACACCCCGTATCTTCCTGCATCAGAGCCTCTGTTCATCCTGTTCTCTTCGACTGGAACATTCTTCGCCCAGATACCTACACATCTCATTTCCTACCTGACTTCCTACAGGGCTCTGCTCAGACATCATCTGATCAGAGATGCCCTCCCTGACCACCTTATGTAAAACAGGAAACTTTCCCCTCAAACTCTCTGACACACCATATATTTACTGGTTTGTTGTTTTGCTTCCACCCAATAGCATGCAATCTCCACTAAGCCAGGGTGTTGTCTGTTTCGTTCGCTGCTGTACCCTTAGTACCTAACACGGGTCCAGCACATAGTAGACCCTCAAGAAGCATGTGTTAAACAAATGAATGTGCTTTTGAACCCAGGAGGTACATATGAAGAGTTTACCTACCTTCTTCATCACTGAGCCCGAGCTGCCCTGCGTTATTCATGCCCCAGCCAAAAACGGCTCCTGAGAGAGACAGGGCAAAGCTGTGGGCCCCTCCTGCAGCCACCTGAGCCAGAGGGATGCCCTCCAGAGACCTCACCCTCTGCGGGCTGGCTTGGGAGGGGAACTCCTTCCCCAGGCCCAGCTGTCCATGGCTGTTCTTTCCCCAGGTGAAGAACTGACCATCTGAAATAAGAACAGGATAAGGTGTATTTCCAGAAATGATACAAGTTCCATCCACAAAAATAATGTCATTAGAACAATATGGTTGTCCAGTAGGGTCATTTGTTAGTTGACCCCCTACAGGCACCAAGAGCAAGGGAACAGAGACACTTCATGTTGTAAGACGGCGATAACCAAAACTCCCACTTGTCCTGACAACAGAGAGAGAAGCTGAGTCTTATTACCCTCCAAAGGCTATTAACATTTATACAAAGTTAAATGTTTAAGTCAATTCAGTTTTGAAGGAGAGTTACCAGGCTTAGATCCACTAAGCAAGCTGAATTAGTTCTGACCACGAGACCCAGGACTTCACAAGGTCCAGCTATGACCTGGATTACACCACAGAGCATCGAGCACGACTTGCTGGTGCACACTTCCCCTCAAATTTATTCTAACATAGAATACAGCATTATTTGCTGGCTTAGGTTTCTCTAACTCGTTTTTTTTTCATTTATTTGGGAGCTTGATAGTGGAATGTAGCTTAAATAGTAGGCTGTAGCTGAAAAAAACCAACCTTATGTACGCTCAAGAACAGTTAAGTACAGTCCTGCCTCCTGCTCCTCTTCCCCTGCGAGAGCTGGGGCCACAATGACAACCGCCTTCTTCATCATCCACACCCTGACAAAGTATGAGCTACACAAAGGCTGCCCGAGAACTGCCACTGTCCCACAGGAATGCACAGATCCTAACCAGTCAGTCAAAAGTTTCCAGTTAAATAATATCACACAAATAGGCAAAGAGAAATGGTTTCAAAATTAACATAACATTAGCATATATTTTAATGTTATATTACCAGCTGCAAGAGCCAGGCAATGCCAGTTGCCACAGGAAACTTGTAATATTGTCTGCTGGTTCAGCTTCTGTATTAACCTGAAACAGAAAAGGCTTTCTTCTTAAGAAGGGCATTCACAAACAACGATCAGACACATTCCCAACTAAATCAAACAATTGTAATAAATAACATCATCTTTCCTAAAAGAGTTTTAAAAATAAAATATATAATCTAACATGACATAATTCTATTACGTCTTTCACCTTAACTTCCTGCCTCCTACATAGTTACTGTTTAAAAAAAAAAAAAAACTCTTCTGCACTTAAACCCATTACCACAACCCTCTGTTAATTCTCACCTGTGAGCTGCAATTCAGGGACAAATGGAGTAAGCTACAGAAGAGACATCCTAAGAATACGGCTGGTGTCTAAATGGCTTTCAAAATGAGAGCAATGCCATGATCCAGCAATTCCACATCTGAGTATAGATCCAAAGGAATTGAAGGCAGAGTCTCAAAGAGATATTTGTACACCCACGTTCAGAGCAGCCTTATTCACAATGGCCAAAAGGTAAACAAACCCAAGTCCATCAACAGATGAATGGATAAACAAAATGTGGCATACACATACAATGGAATATTAATCAGCCTTAAAAATAAAAGAAATTCTGACACATGCTACAACATGGATGAAACTTGAGGACATTATGCTAAGTAAAATAATCCAGTCCCCAAAAGACAAATATTGTATGATTCCACTTATATGAGGTACCTAGTGTAGTCAAAGTCATAGAAACAGAAAGCAAAATGGTGGTTGCCAGGGGCTGGGGAGAGGAGAAATGGGGAGTTGTTGTTTAGTGGGTATAGAGTTTAATTTCTGAAAGATAAAAAAGTTCTGAGGATTGGTTACAGAACAATATGAACATACTTAACACTAAAGAACTGTACACTTAAAAATGGTTAAGATGGTGAATTTTACGTTATGTGTATTTTACCACAATTTTAAAAAATAAGGGCAATACCTCCGAAACCCTAATTCCCAGGACGGTAAAGAGGAAGATCATATGATTACTTTTCAAATCCCGCTCCTCTGCTTGCTCCCGTGAAAGACAGAGATAAGAACAGTACCTATTTCACAGGGTTGTGGTGAGAATTAAATGACAGAATCCATGTAAAGTGCCTGGCACTGTCCAACAGAGGTGGGCAGCCTGGGAATACCTCCTGCTCTTTGAATAGTTCCCAAGTTGCCATGTTCCTCTTCATTACATGTATGCCATGGGAACAAAGGAGTGAGACGGACTCGCCCTCAGGAGAGGGGTATCTTAGGAGATAGATGGGGCAGGGAGGGGGGTTTATTTAGAGGAATCGGTAGATTTTGCTTTTGTTAATGTTTTATTTTCTCAGATATAAAAAAGTTAAAATGTAGTTCACATATGCATTTAGCACCAAATAGCACCCACCTATTTCTTATTGAGATAACTGTAGATTCACAGGCAGTTATAAGAAATAACACAGAAGATCCCTTGTACACTTGTCTAGTTTCCCCCAACGGTGACATTTTGCAAAACTTTAGTATAATATCATAACCAGGATACTGACATTAATACAATCTATCAATCTTATTCATATTTCCCCAGTTTTCTTAGTACTCATTTCCATGTGTGTGTTAAGTATATGTGTGTAGGTTCACATATCGACCACCACAGTCAGGATACTGAACGGTCCCAACACCAGGAGAGGTCCTCGTGGTGTGCTTTTATAACCACTCCTCCCCTCCGCTGTCCCTCGCCCCTAGCAACCACTCATCTATCCTCCATCTCTAAAACTGTCATTTCAAGAAGGTTATATAAATGAAATCATACAGTAGGTAACCTTTTGGGATTGGTTTTTTTTCACTCAGAATAATTCCCTGGACATTCATCCAAGCTGTTGCACATATCAATAGTTTGTAGAAGCCCACTAGTTTTTAAAATTGGAAAATGCATTACTGCCTAGGGGACCAATGTTCCAGAAATGTTATGCAGGAACAGCCCTTTTTCCTGGCCAGTGTCCACTCAAGTTCTGCACAATTCTCCCTTTATGGGTCAACATTACTCTTGTCACAGCCTTCACAACCACAGTTACAGAAAGAAGTAGGTCGAAAGGAGAAAGATAAACAATAGGGAAATGACACTCTTGAGGCGGAGAGGAGGGGTATTATACAGTGCAAGTATATAGTGTGTTTCACCTACTCATCTCATTCTATCCTCTCAATAACTTTGTAAGGCACACGATATATAATTACATTTTTAAGTTAGGAAACCGAGGCTTAGAGAAGTTAAACAATTTGCCCAAGGTCACTCACCTAATAAGTAATAGAGCCAGTATCAGAATCTGAGGCTGTTAGACTTCAAAGCTATGTTACTTTCCACAACACTAAGGCATGAATTAATGAATTTACTTCAATTAACTTGTAATATAAAATTATACACAAACCAAAGCCTTGGAAGTCATCCGTAATTTAGATGTGACTAATGAAAATTAAATTGCTACTATAACACAGATTATTCATTTTTAGAAATGAAATGCCACTAAAAATCTTAACTTGAGTCTTTGGTCATCAACAAATGAAATACTCTTGTCATTAATGTTATAAATCTTTCCCCTAATATTACACACAATTTCATTAAAATTATAGCTCCCCTTTTTTCTTACTACCACTCTCCCTCTTCCTCCAAAATTAAATTAATTTTTGGAAGAAATGAATCCAAGACATTACCTGTTCTAAATCAGGAAGCGAATCTAATCACTCTTGCCTCCATGTTCCTCTTTTCCTTAAAACAGCTTTTGATTAAAGAGACAAAAATCTAAGAAGGGCAAAAAGGAAGAAGAAGAAGAATATACTGTCCTTTAAAGAGGACAGTAATTGGGCAGCGGAGGAGAGGCCATTTGTTAAACAGACTTGTACTGAGCAATGTATGTGCTGGGCACCCTCAGCTATGGTGATGCTAAAATGAATAATGCAGGTTTCCTGCCATCAAGAGCTCCCAGTGTTGCACTAAAAATAGTCATTAAATCAACAGTTACAAAGAATGTGACAAGTACCACAAAAGGGGTATGCTGTACGTTTGTAGTATAAAGGAACAGGAATTAAATGAAGGAAATAAACCGGCGGCCTCTTTGGTCATTAAGAACCCTCAACAAACTGAGACACCACCTCCAAAAAGTCCACCTGCAAGTAACCGCAGTATGTTGGATGTTTTCTAGTGGTGAAGCAGCATTAAGTAAAAACTTAAGAGACTCAAAAGCACTGAATTAGTCTTTTTGTGTTAAAGAATTTATGTACATTTGGTATTTTAGCTGTTCACAATGCTTAAGGTAATTTGGCCTATTATTAGAGTAACAGGTCAGCCTTATGATTCTAGTTTAAAGTGCTTAATTGAGTAATTGATTTAGACTTGCAATTTTAAGTTAAAGCTTAATAAGTCCATCATGTAAAAAGATGCTTTTTTTATTCAAACATTTATTAAGTTCCAGGCACTCTGCTAGCAACTAGGCTACTAGAATAAATAAAAGTACACGGGCCGGCACAGTGGCGCAAGCGGTTAAGTGCACGCTCTCCGCTGTGGCAGCCCGGGGTTCACCAGTTTGGATCCCGGACACGCACCGATGCACCACTTGGCAAGCCATGCTATGGTGGCGTCCCATATAAAGTGGAGGAAGATGGGCACGGATGTTAGCCGAGGGCTGGTCTTCCTCAGCAGAAAAGAGGAGGATTGGCAGATGTTAGCACAGGCCTGATCTTCCTCACAAAAAATAAAATAAAATAAAAGTACAGTTCCCAACCAATTCACATTTTTTTTCTTTTGTGAGGAAGATTAACCCTAGGCTAACATCCGTTGCCAATCTTCCTCTTTTTTTTTGCTGAGGAAGATTGGCGCTGGGCTAACATCCGCGCCCATCTTCCTCTACTTTATACGGGACGCTGCCACAGCATGGCTTGATGAGCAGTGCATCTGTGCGCACCCCGGATCTGAACCTGCGAACCCCGGGCTGCCAAAACGGAACACGCGCACTTAACTGCTAACGCCACCAGGCCGGCCCCCCAACTCACATTTTTTTTTTTTTTTTTAAAGAATTCCCCCCCCCCGCCCCAAAGCCCCAGTAGATAGTTGTATGTCACAGCTGCATATCCTTCTAGTTGCTGTATGTGGGACTCGGCCTCAGGATGGACAGAGAAGTGGTGCCTCCGTGTGCGCCCGGGATCCGAACCCAGGCCACCAGCATCGGAGCGCGAGCACTTAACCACCAAGCCACGGGGCCGGCCCTAACTCACATTTTTTAATGGGAGATAGAAACACTTCTATAAATAATTACAATTTTTGTGACAAGCACTCTAACAGTTTAGGGCACAGCAGTGGCACAAAGGAAATTGCAATTAAATGAAGAAAGCAGAACCAAAAACAAAGAGTCTAACAAAGCAACAACAGGAAATAAATTTACAACAACTGACATTTGAGAACCCAGCCTTCTGTCTGTGACATTCTTACCTGGGCACTGCCACGGAATCCTCAGTAGTCATGAGTCCTAGCTGACCATCACTCCCCGCACCCCAAGAAAACAGTTGGCCCCGGTCGCTGAGGGCCAGACTGTGGGACTCGCCACACGCCACATGGACAATGTGCTGATCTGCCAAGGCTCCAATTTGCTCTGAAAGAGACCAAACCAGAGGAGGAAAATGTATATCCAGAGACAGGAATTACACAGAATTATCTTCCTAGGCAGTTTTATTTTTTTGAAGAAAACCACTAAATCTGTGTATTTATAAAGACTATAAGTTTTATGTCTCTCAAAGCTATCAGTTTAGATCCTAGCTACACTGGGTAACACACACACCTGTAGCAGCACACAAATCCCAGATGTTCCCTCATGTGCCTGCTGCTTCTCTCCAGGGAGAAGCGAGAAGGTTTAATATTTGGAGATATTGAACCAGAGAAGCCCAAATGTGAGTGGGAATGAGGCATATTACTAAAAGCAGTGGGACTAAGTCTGCCTCGGAAATGAGACCCCTCCCCAAAACCTCCCACTCCCACATCCAGAAAACACCTTCTCCCCTCAGTTCCAGAACACAGCCTCACAGACATCTAGCCAGGAGACAGGAGGATTTCTCTGAGAAAACTGGCCCAAAAGAAAAGACCCACAGATACTGACATTTGTGACTCTCCCATTGAAATGCCCGGCTTCCCGCTGGTTAACAAGCCTTGCCCACACACAGCTCCACTCAGGTCCTAGTACCTCACTCTTCCGTAGAAAAGCCTGTGTCAGGGATCATCACATATGAGAGGAGAAGTTTAACATGAAAGACAAAGAGCAAAATAAACAGAAGAAAATAAACTATGAAGAAACAGATCGTGCAGGGATCTATGTGGTTTCACACTGAAAAGACCTATCATCAATTACACTTCAACAAAAAAAAAGAAAAAAAGGACCTATCAAGGGCTCACAATAATGGCTGATAAAAGACCCACTTCAGGAGCACTTCATCCTGAAACTTCAAAACACCAAAAAAGATTCTAAAAGTTTCAAAAGGAAAACAGTTTGTATACAATAGAACAGGGATCACAACAGCATCAGATTTCTCAGAAGCAATGCTGTAAACTAGAAGACGACAGAGCAATGCCTTCATAACTCTGAGGGAAAACGACTTCCAACCAAGAATTCTATACCTAGTCAACTATGAATCAGATGTGAGGAAAGGGGAAAAAAGAACAACTTGCAAGCATTTAAGGCTCTCAAAATATTTTACCTCCCATCCTGCCTTTCTCAGAAAGTTACCATAAGATCATGCCTCCAAAACAAGGGAAGATTCAGCACCCAGGAAATGGGACTCTTCCATAGGAAGAAGTGAAGAATATTTCCAAGACAGCTACGCAGCAAGCCTATGAAGCAAAGTGGGAGGAATATCTCCAAGGTGAAAAATGAAATACAATCTGATGAGCTTTATATTATTATGAGTTTTACAGTTCTCTTGGAGAATATAGAGGTTACTATGCAAAAGAAAAAAATGAAATAACTCCAGGAAACACTATATGTTTTACAGGAAATAAAAGCCATGGTACATAAAATAATAATAACCAAATAAATATACATTTACATAGTTAAAAATCTAATTGTCAAACTTGATTTTAAAAAATCAACTATTTGGTAAAGGATGAGCGTCTAGGGGTGAGGAAGAGGAAAGGATGGGTGGATAATATAAAAGAATGCTAATCTTCCCCAGTGGGAACTCTCTAGATTATATACAATATTGAAAAAAAATCAAGAAATAGTATTATAAGTATGTTATTTAGAAATATAAAGGTAAATACCAAAAGAAAGAGCTAAGAGAGTTGAAAGTGACAGCTTCTGTGAGTGAAACTCAAGGGTGCGGACAGGTGAGGCAGGGAACCACTATTTGACCTAAACATAGTTCATGTAAATATATTATTTGGAAACAAAAATTCTTTTTTAAAATTAAGTGGCTGAAAATATGCTCATGTCAGAGAAATCTCCTGAAAGATGCTGTAACTCTTGTTGTTCTCATTGCCCATCTCCTTTAACCTCTATTCACTATTCAGCCCTACCTCCCAAATCAGCCTTGCCCCACACACTAAGAACATCCTATCTTTGGAAAAATGTACAACTCCTACCAAAGTAGCTCAGGTGATTCAGACACTACTCCTCTGACCAAATTTCCGCCTTGTAGCATAGTTCCAGGACTTGGGCAGCCTATATGTTCTCCCAGGCCTGGGTACCTGCCTGATCCCTCAGCCGTGACTGAGGCCTGCCCCCCAATCCCTGACCTATGCCTACCATTAGCCTTTCCCAGCTGGATGTTAGCATACGGCCTAACATGACACCAAACGTTTCTCCACTGTCGGACAGGACACTCTCCACCTCATCTGCCGCCTATTTCCTGGCCTCAAAATCTGTCAACAGCATCTCTCTTGATCTCGTTTCCCACAGCTGAGTAGCCTCAAAAGGACATGTCTAGATTCCCAGTACCATTTACTCCCAGTCAGGTAAGCCCTAAGCAAACCAAATACTGTCCCCTCACATAGCAGCCACCAAAAGAGACATCAAACTATTGTCACCACAACAACAAAACTTGCAGCCCCAAAGGCAGGGGTACTGTTCAGTAATGCAAAGACTTGTGGAGAATTAACCCACTGGTTGAACCAAATCCAACTTATTTTATTTCTTCTAGCCAGAAAACTGAACTCATCTGATTCACACTGGGGATCTGTTAGAGTGAAATTATAACCACTCTTCTAGAATCTACTCCCTAGGTCAGGCCAATGAGCCACTGAATGCTTTATTCAAACCTCCCTGAAAACACCCCTGCCCCACTTGGGAACATTCAGGCTGTGGTGCACGTTTCCACATGCAGTCTCTTCTGATTCATTCTGTCAAGACTACACGCTATATTTTGCAGATCATGACAGAACCTCAACCCACACGTTAAAATAATTAAACACACTGAAGAAATATTTGGCATTTTTTGAGGATAAAAGTATATTTTCTCTCTGATCCTCTCATAGCAACACTTTAAAGTCTTTAGAAGTCTTTAGCAATGTTATCAACTCTGAATGAGCCAAGGTAACAGGGCAGAACAGTGGCAAACGTGGAATGCTGCTTCAAGCAAGGCAGCAGTTCAGTGGACTTATATTATTAGGATTACTTCTACTTGGCTTTTGAGCCCATCATAATTTTTTATGTATTTTCAAGTTAACAGTAAAGTGGGCATTAAACCATCAAAGGGTGGTAATAGAGAAGGAAGATATGAGCCTAGCGGGTAGACGGATGATGCTGATACTTACTTCATCCTTGAAACAGCCCTGTGAGGCAAGGGTTCTACAATAAAGCCCAGATCAGAAAAAGTTATGTGATTTGGCCAAGGTTCACAATGAATGAGTGGTGCAGCCAGGACTGGAGCCCAGGACTTTCTGTTATCCACAGCTAAATGTCTTCCTTCATGGAAAAGGACGAGGCAGATTTTAAATTGGTAAAAGCAACTATGAACTAACTACTTTAGTTAAATCTAGTTATGGATAATGGGCAATTGACTCTTACTGTCTGTTCAAATGAGAAATATATCCAATAGTTTGCAGTTAACAATAAGAGTAGTTGGATGGAAAGTATACAGAATGTACAAAATTACTGATCAATATTTGGTACTACATTTTTAATAATAAAACTATAGTAAAATAAATTAAATGTCAGTGATTGGTATGCCAAAGGGGATTCAACTTTCATCACTTAGATGTCTTCTTTGCAAATTTCTCCAAATTGTCTACTCTAAGATTAGAGTTTTCTTTAATACTAGACAACAAAAGTCAGAGCACACTGTGGGAAACCCAGCGCTTCATCCTGCTGTTCTGTGGATTCTAAGTCCTCAGGTGCACCCCAACCCTGACTTCAGTTTACCACAGAACTCTCAACCCGAGTTCACATCTCGCTTCCTGCTGCTACTCTCTGCTCTCTCCTGGCAGTTTTTCTCCAAAGTTACTGTCAACCCAGTCTGAGGGGTGCAGCAGATTTTTACGGAAGGTTTGGGGTGATGGAAATAAACTTTACCTCAGCAAACCAATCAAAACAGAATATAACCCAAGGTCCCCTGCAGTTCCCAACAAAGAGAACTTCCTAGTGCACATCATTCCTCCTGGGGGCCCCTGGCCTCCCACAACATGACGAGGCGCTCTCTCCCTCAGTTTCTTTGGTTCTGTGTCTGAAAGGTCCTGTTCCTAACATATTCCAACTATTTTCATAATTATTTTCATCTAAACATTTTGAAGGACCTGGGCTACACCTAGTGGGGTCTCAACTCCATAACAACTCACAATTTAAAGTGACCACCCCCTCCCATAAGCGAGTTATCTCCACAGAAGGAATTCTACCTTGTTCCTGAGCCAAAGCGCTCAAACCAGAGTCAGCTTTTTTCCTAATTTTTAATTATCATACAGTAAAACCAACTTTTCTTTAGTGTACAATTCTATGAATTTAAGCACATGCAACCACTGCCACTATCAAGATACAGAACAGTTCCATCACCCCAAAAAAGTCCCTTGTGCTATTCCTTAATTATAGTCTCTCCTCATCCCTAACTCTGGAGATCACGATCTGTTTTCTATCCCTACAGTTTCATATTTTCACTACTGTCACGTAAATGCAATCATATAGCATCTAACCTTTTAAGACTGGATTCTTTCACTCAATATAATGCCTCTGAGATGCATCCAAGTTGCTGCATGTATCAATAGTTTGTTCCCTTTTATTAGTGAGTAGTATTCCATTGTATTACGGATGTAGCACAAAGCATCGTTTCCAGTTTTTAGTGATTATAAATAGAGATGCAATAAATATTCCTGTACAGGTTCTTGTGTGAGAATAAGTTTTCCTTTCTCTGGAGTAAATACCCAGGAGTGAGTATTTTAACCTTTCTATATTATTATTTCTGAACTCAGTTTCTTATACACAGCATATGGTGGGGTTATTTTTTAAAATTTAATATGATAATATCTGTATTTTGATTGTTTCTTTGACTACCTTTAATATAATTATTGATATGTTCAGATTTTTTACCTACCTTTTTATTATTTGTTTTCTGTTTGTTCCCTCTATTTTTTATTGCTCTTTTTCCTCATTCCTGACTTCTTTTGCATTATTTAAAC